CTAAAAAAAGTTCTCTCAGCATGGTTGCTTATGGTTGTCTAACCAGTGCCTCTGATGGGATGCTGTTACTTTATAACCCCAAAATCCACACGTAAATCAAACTGTAAAAGACAGACAGCATTTCCACTACATCAAGTCAGACGACTCAGCAGCTGCTCGTTTCTATGGAGGCTATAGAGGACTGAATAAAAGCAGCAGCTTGTGAATTCTTGCAAACAAGATAAGAAACTGGGTTAAATCATTATTTCGTTTAGAACAAATTTGCAGGAGCTTCTGAGGCTAACAGCGGGCTTCAGTGTTTGGCCGCAGGAACGCTGGTGGACAAGTGTGCAGCCCGTTCCTGTCTAGTCTGCGATTGGTCGACTGAGGTGCTGCTGTTCTCTTCTTGGACAACGCACTGAGAATTACTGGCAACTCCAAACTAGAAGTGTAAGGGTCGATGTTAATAACAGCTCACGGCCTTTTTTGTATAGATCAGACATTTCTGGCTCTGAGGGGCGCTTTCGGCGTAATTTCTCATGAATGACTGGGCAGATTTTCAGGCCCAGGAGGTCCATCTTTTCTTCTCCCTTTTCTTTTTTTTTTCCTCCAGACTTTCCAGTGCCGTGTAGACATGTTTAAACAACACGCCAGCCTCTTGCTAATCCCCTTCTTCCACTGTCTGCCTTTCTCTCAGACAGTTCTGTTTAATTTGACTTGATATTTGAGTTATTTGATATTTGCATATTGTACGAGGAACCTGGGGCTTGTGTTTAGAGACGGCCTTGTGCATACATCCTCTGCAAACAGCGAGTCATAATGTGAGGTGTGACTGATGAAAAACTAATCTTGCTGTCGAAAAGTAAGGATTGGGCTGACTGGTTTAAACTTACTGTGACAGCTAGTTTTTGTTTTTTTTTTCCATTTTATGAATAGCATAAATACATTGAATATTGAACCGGAATATAGGGAAGTGACTTTGAATTGAACACAATGACATAGTTTAACCACAGCTAAAGTGAATACTGTTGCTGACTAATGCAGTCATTCTAGTCTTTATTAGCAACAATATGAGTTTTTTATTTTTTGCTTACACTCACAACCTGATTATTCAAACCCCTTTCGATGTCACACAGATATACTCAGAACACTGTCAGTCGTCAGTAACTTTTGAATGACACCAGTTTAATTTTGCAGGACTGGTGAAACTCATCAGTCGGAGTTCATTTGAAGTCCCATTTCCAACCGTGCCGTCTTATTAAAGAAACTATGGAGAGGAATGAACAGTGAAGCTCTCGTACATCAGGATTGTTTGAAGACAGCCTTGTAAAAGCTACCCTTTAAGGAGAGAAGAGAGTATTATCACCGGTAGACAGAGCTGTGAGGGGGGAAATCATGTAGACTAATCACTGTGCGAGTTCTCGTACCAACTGATCCGTGAATCAGCCGATTTGGCTGATTTGTGTTCCTTCATCCAGCCACAAGGAACTACTGAGTGCAATCGTTTGACGAGGCTCTTTGTCGCTGGGTTGCTCCGCAGTTTCTGGCTCCCAGAATCGTTCGCTTCATGAGTTGGCGTATGCAGCCATCTGGTGGCCGTCGGCTCGCACTGCAAACTCTCAAGCGAAAGCTAATAACCACGACCCTCGAAGCAGAACACCTTCTTTTCCAGAGAACCGCTTCCGTGATTCCATAATATGAATAATGCATTAATAGGTATGAAAGTCTTAATTTATTTAATGAAAGAAAAACACCTGGTGCCATTTCCACAGTTAATTGGATCCATCAAGCATGAGATTAAGGAGCACATGAGTGGTTGCCGAGTGGGTCGATTACCGACCGCTGCTAGAGTTTGGGATATAGGTTTCTCTTCTTTTTTATCTCGCAAACCGAGGAGCTGTTTCAGTCCACGTGTGAACCCCGAGCACAGTTTGTATTCTTTCTGCCATGCCAGCACAGAAAGAATAGTCAGTTCCAGCTCTGAAACTAATGAGGCCTCACAACAGACTCCTGTGGGCGGAAAATACATACTTTTAGATGGTGCCCACAATTTGTTTTAAAAAAGACAAAATGTCTTATGTCTCATCAAAGTGAAGGCAGAAAAACGTGGTCTGTCTTAAAATGTTGCGATATACAAGATCTTAAACAAAACATAGCAGCAACATAGCAGTTAACAATGATGTGCTACGTAAAGACACAGCAGAGTGATGCAGTGTGTGCTGTCTGTTGTTAGTGCACAAAGACATACATTAGTTCAATGAATCACATCAACTTATTGACATCCACCAAATGCCGTCTTGTTGATGTTTAGGAACCTCACACCATGCAAGAAGAACGCAGGTCAAAGTAACGCCAACAAAGTAAGGGTTAATACTAAACTTCACACAACTTTGCAAACAGCGAAAAAACAACAGAAAAAGTTTCTAATTCAGTCTCTTGTTTTTTGTTCAATGTCTAAAGAATGTCAAAAAATACATTTTTTTCTGCCTGTAAAGCTATTTACTTGTCATGACTCATGTTGACCTCAGAGATGTTTGAACAAATGTATTAAGTTAAAGTGAGTTAAAGAGAATTTGGGGAAATGGACCAACACGTCAGTGCATGTGAGGTCCTCCCTTTGAAAGTCTGCCCTGCTTGAGTTTAGAAACACACCATGACTGACACTGCACATGAACGCAAAAGTGCTGCTCAGAGCTCCGCTGGTGTCCCAAATATACAAATGAATGTAATCTTTTTTTTCTTGTTTTGGTTGTTTGATGTTTTTTATCTGGGGCTGCACAGTGGCTCGGTGGTTAGCACCGTCGCCTCACAGCTAAAAGATCCCCAGTTCACGTCCCAGTGAGGACACCCTGTGTGGAGTTTGCATGTTCTCCCCGTGCCGCTGGGTTCTGGTTCTCTGACTTCCTCCCACAGCTCAAAAACATGTTGAGGTCAATTGGTGATTCTAAATTGTCTATAGGTGTGAATGTGAGTGTGCTTCTGTCTCTAAGTGTGGCCCTGTGACAGACTGGTGACCCCAGTGAGGATTAAGCGATGTATAGATAATAAATGGATGTTTTCCATCTGTTTATTCTTCCGCTTGCGTCCGTCTTCTTTCACTTCATGCAGCTCTGTTTCCACACACAGGTCTGCTCCAGTTCATCCACAAGGAGACTCTGTTGGTCCGTGGGTCCAGACACAAGCACAGAGAAACAGATGAAGTGAAGGTAACCTGAGCTGCAAGATATTCAATGTGTTTCACAACACTAGCGTGGGCGACTAGTTGTGGCTGGATTTTTTTTTTTGTTGCCTCTCATGTAGCGAGGTGGGAAGCGTGGCCGATGCACCTGTTTCGGTCTGAGACGTCGGTCGCTCTAACAACGTCCTGTGGCTCTGAAAGGTTGCACACAGAACCTTTAACAAAAGCAACGAAATGCGGTTTTGGTTTGGACGCGAACAAGCACCATGTATTTGTTTGCCGAGAAAGAAGGAAACAACTTTCTGAGAAGGCATTCCTTGTTTATAAAAAGTTTTATGACCTTGTAAATTATAGCTGAACACAGTCGGAGTCACACAGATCAGTAAGAAACAAACATGTAACTACAGCTACGTACTATATTTATAACTGCAGATTGTTAGAAACGGAGGAATCTGGGACCCTGTTGATGACTTTTAGCATTTTATGAACAGTTTCTCACCTTACAGTTGGTTATCAGATCTGCAGAGCATTGCTGATAGAACGAGTCCTGTCACTTCTAATCATAACATCAGCTGTTAAACCTGCAACATTTCCAGCTTTCTGCATTCTGTACAGTGGGTTTTATGAAGCATTTCATGTTCTCAGATTCTCTCCCTGTAGCGGTTGAGCAGTTAATTGATAGGATTTTGTTGATTTAAATACAGTGATGTCATATCTTTGCTTTAATTTTTGTTTTTTAGACGTGTTACCTCAGTATAATGATGTTTTTCCCGACACAGCTATAAAAAAACTGAGTCCAAACCAGAGCAGATTGTAACTCTGCAGCCTGTGATTTAGTCGTGCGACTCTGCTCTCATGCAGACAGTCTCATACCGGTGACAGGGTAAGATTCATTAGAGGAAGGCTGAGGAGAGATGTGTCTTGACGGCAGTCGGCCTATTACTGCCATCGTGGAGTGACTGTGCTGTCCTGGCTGCAGGTCAGAAGGTCGTTCTTCCACCACAGAGCCCAGGAAGGAAAACAGTCAATCCTTTGTGGAGTCACGACCAGGTCAGGACAGCGCAGAGAGCCCAACAGTGGAAAAATACAGAGCGCAGAGCGACTGCAGCGGTGGAACGGGCCTGGAGGTATCAGGGTCATGTTATTTTATCAACCTCGTGTGAGACAACCGCGGTTTATTGATACAAGCAGCTGCAGGGAGACAGAGCGGGGAGGTGACACAGAGCAGGCAGACATGAGGGAGGCCTCCAACAAGATGCTGCGCTGCTTCACTGTGTCGATGAGGGATTGCGAAGTGACAAGATACAAATGACTCGTCGTTTCTCAAGTGTAGCTCATTGTGTTACTGCAACTAAAGATTCATTTCAGGAACAGTCTGCCTACAAGTTTCTCAGATACTCAATTGGCCCAATTATTAAGAACAACGTCTGACCAACAGTCCAACAACCCGAAATGTTCAGCGTACCGAAGAGAGCATCGCCGCAGTTCAGTCAGTCTTTTAACTGTAGTAAATAAAGTCTGACTAATGTCTGCATTCTCATGAGACCAAGAAAACACACAAATGTTTACTTTAATCTGATTTTTTTTGTTTAAAAAGTCCAGAAACTTTTGTTAATCTACTATTAAACGGATCATTTCAGCTCCACTTGAACGAAACAGAAATATTAGTTCAAGGGTGTAAATTTGAAGATAAAAAATGACCTGTTAAATAGTTTATATTCATATTTTTATCAGTCCAAACTCAAGTCATTCTCACAAATGACACTGTTGTAACCAAATTACTACTTAGTACTGCATCTTGGTTGGATTAATACAAGAAATAAATGCACACAGACATTCAGAGTATTTTTTAGGAATAATTTATTGCCAGTAGGAAAGCGTGAGCTTGTGGCAGTATTCAATAAAAACCTTAACAAGACCATAGCATTGCTCAGACGCACATAGACACCTGAAAAAGTCACGTGTCCATGGATAACTCTGCACTATAAATATATTGGGTCCCATTTTCTTGGTGGAAAAATAAAGAGGTTCCAAAGTCAAAATGTACAAACAAACAAATTAAAAAAAACAAAAAGAAAAAAAAAAACAAACAACACAAGAATATGCAGTCGTTCATTGAAGACCCTTTTTGAAATGAGCAAGAGACAATAAACTTTTACGAGTACACTGTGTTCAGAAAAGCCACGCTCTTCTCTTATCTCTTTTTTTAATGTTTATTTTTTTTTAGTGAATGTAAGCACAGTAAGGCTGATAATGTCACACCATTTAACTCTTTTTTTTTTGTTGTTGAAAATAAAAGCATAGAATATCTACAAAACCTAGTAAACTTTGAAATCAAAACTGTACATTTAAATTTACATTGAAAATGAGGACTTGTATAAAAACATTTTGCTTGGTTTGTTTATAGAAACAAAGATATTTTCATGAAATATTCTTTTTTGTTTTTTTTCATGATGCTTTTCCTGTTGTACATTGAAATGTTGATCCTTCAGACGATCCACCTCCTGTGTATGATGACAGTTACTTAAAGCAATGGCACCGCCAACTCAAAGGGGCAGGAGTTGGACCGAGCAGATGCAAAGAGGCTACAGTCGCTCCTGTAGTTTCTTCAGATCTTCTCAGCCGAATGGCCCTCAACCAGTCTCAACAACCCCTGTTTTTACTCAGATTCATCGTTTGTGTCAGTGTGCATGTATGTGTGTGGTGTTGGTTTATGTGTCCACATACTGTGCGTGTTTACCGTGAGTGGTGTGTCAAGGGCTAACATAAGGTGTAGCTGTGGGTTCAGGCACTTTTGTTTGGATCCAGTGTCAGACTTCAGTGTGCTGTTGGGAGTCCAGCGCCGGGATGGCCAGCCGCTCGAAGTGGCCCTCGTCTCCGCTCTCGTAGTCGCTTATCATCACCTCGGACTCCTCGCAGCACGCCGACATGTCCGAGCAAGAGGCCGTGGACGTGTACAGAGACATGGACATGTTGTCCAGAGCTGAGGAGTCAAAGTCCCGACTACAGCCTAGAGGGTAGCCCCCTCTGTAACCGCCGGTGCCCATGGTGGAGGCCGGGGTAATGGTGGCGGAGGAGGTGCCCTGGCCCTCGGTGTCACCCCCATCGCTTGGGTAGGAGTGCTGTGGCAGATACTGGTTAAGGCTGTAGAGCTGGGGCAGGGCTGGGCGCTGGCGGACCCCACCTGAGCCGCCCGAACCGCCCACAGACGGGTCCAAGTCTCTGCCGAGGGGCCGCAGTGTGTCACAGCGGTCGCTGTACTCTGGCAAAGGTGGCGGCGGTAGGTCGTCGTTGGCAGGGAAGTCCTCTGGCGGCGGAGGGAAATCGCTCTCAATGTCAAAGCCGCCTGGATAATAGTCGGTGTCGATGGCACTCGGGTCACTGTACAGAGGGGCGGGTGACTCCACAACCTCATACTGTGGAAACTCCTGGATTCCAGGAAGTTGAACACTTGGCATCCAATCAGATGTGTCCCAGTGATATCCTGTGTGAAAAGCAAAGACCAAAGACAAATATTAGGTCTGTGACAAAGCTCAATGCAACACATTGAGCTGTTAACATCCACCAAATGCCATCTTGTTAATGTTAAAACCCCACACCATGCAACAGCAACACAGGTCCAAGTAACACCAACAAAACTTAACGTCACACAACTGTCTGAACAACATCTTAACACACTTCACAAATGCAACGACAGTGAAATAAAAAACAAAAAAACAACAGATCTAATTCAGTCTCCTTGTTATTTGTTCAGTTATCTTTTGTTAAATGCTAAAAGTATGTCAAAAAAATTCCTTGTTTTTTTTAAATCGTCAAACTATTTTTGATGGCTCTTCTTGATATATTCATAAATGTGTCTAATCAAAGATGAGCGCTAACGCTTGCAGCGAGCAGAGAGATAATCGCCGGTGTTATAGGAGTGTGTTTGGACATCGGTTGGAAAAAAACAATTATTGGTATTGTTAAGTTCAAACTAATAACACCAGTGATGGAGGTATAAAATACAGCTTTGCATCCTACTGCAGCTATTGTGCCAATATGTTGCTAAGTGACATCACTTCTGAACAAATGTATTAAATATAAGCAACATATTTTGCTCCAGTTGCATTTTTTTTACTCACTCTGGGCTTCTTTACAATTAAAGTCTATGGCAACAGCACAACCACGGCTACAATCAGAGAAAAGTAAAAAAGTGTCTTCTGTGTAAATGTTTATTGTCGTGCATCATAAGTTGAATTTCGTTGATGATTTCTTTTATAAAGATTTAAAAAATAGTTACTACTGGCTTCCGGGTGCACTGAGGATCACATATTTTTTTGTTTTTTAGCCAATCTGTTTAGCAGTTTAGCAAAATTTTAAATGACACATGTAGAAAAGGGAAGTTTTCTGATCACAGGTGAGCAGTTCAATGACTGTCGGATAATTCTTTCTGTTTTTATAGTTTCTGGCTCTGATTAGTGGCAACTATTAAAAAAAAAAAAAAAAGTTGATGTGTCTTTTAAAGCGGTGGGTTTTGGGGCTCAGAAGGTTAAAAAGATAACTACACCTCACCCAAATGCACAGTTGTCCTTCCCTCCACCTCCGTAATCACATTTCAAAATAAAACGACATTTTGACACACTCTTAACACTGGTAGCACAAACACACAAACACAACATGACTAAGAGGATATCCAGTTAGTGACTGAGCCACACCTTTGATCATCTTAATGTCATCAAAGCCATGCAAAGGAGTGTTTCTGGGGCGATAAGTAGTCTTACAGAGGCAGACACAAACACCTTAGAAGACCATTGCTGCATAAAGAGCGCTCAGCGTCACAGCAGCTTTAAAGCTCCTCTTTTAGGATTTAGGGTTAGTGGGTAGAAGTTAGAGGATGGGATCAGGGTAAAACCAGGCAAACAAAGATGAAAAAACAAGTCACCTCTTGGGTTCTTGAGATCATGAGCCAAAAAAGACTCTTTACATGAGGCAAAGAAGAGGGAGAAAAAGAGAAAGAACAAGTCACGTTAAAATCTAACAGGAGAGAACAATCGACTGAGAACATGAACGAAATGAGGAACACAAGTAACGATGACGGGAATGACAGGTAAATGAATGCACAACCGCTTTGCCATTTTCTTAGACAGACTTCTTAAAAGTGCGAGTTGGAGACGAACAATGCCGAGGCAACGCTTAAGCTGCCGGTTTAATTTTGTATTTGCATATCTTTTTAATTAGCAGCTGAATCTTAAAAAAAAAAAAAAAAGGCAGAAGTCAGGGTCGGATGAGGTTTGTCAGTGTAAGATAATGGCAGCGCTACAACCTACACTTCACATCCCAACACCGAGAACAAAACTAGCGGCAGATGAAAGCTAGACGAGTACCTTCTCCTTCCACCGTGTCAACAGCAGAGTTGACAAGGTGGATTATTGTCACTATGGAGGCTTGTGAGAGGCAGGGGAGAGGAGGGGGGGGAGTGGGTGGAAGAGATCTTTCATTAGTACAAATGCGTCTATCATTTGTAAAGAAAGAAAAGGAAGAACAAAGAAGAGACACATATGGAATGCGCAGTGGTGCCAACACTTCCCACAAATGTTGTCGTCCCTGTTGCTGGACGAACTTTGTCTGTTGTGTGTCTGAGGGGGTTTCATGACTGGGCACAAGACAATGGAGGAAGGCAACACAGTGGTGTGTGTGTGTGTGTGTGTGTGTGTGGAGGGATGGAAGGAGAGGAGGGGGGGTCTGGTTTTGTTTGTGCAAGATAACACACAACAACAACATACTGAGATGCTAGCGGGTGCCATTGACAGTACAGATGGAAGAATCAGTGAAATTCCCCAGAGATATAAACACATTTCCAACCCTAAACACAGAGAGAGAGAAAAAAAAAAAGGCTGTGTGTGTTTGGAAAACAAACTGAGGGAATGAGGAAATAGAAAAATACCTGTTTGGAACGGTTCTAATTGAAATTTAGGATTTGTTTTTGAAGGTATAGGATGAAGGTTTTGATGACTTATGAGCAGCACAGTCCCCATCATGGCGTCCCGGTGATGACGACGGGTAATTAAGAGTGATGTGATGGAAAAATGGGAGAACATAAAATATGCTTGTATACCCTTGTGATATGTTCCTTGATATTTGCTTTAAACATCCGCTTGTAGCTATGTTTTGAGAAACAAAAAAAAGAACAGACAAACAAAAGAAAAAGAAAAGGCATGCTTGTAAATTTAAAAAAAAAAAGAAGTAAAAATGCAAAGTCAATGATCCCATGAGTCAAACAGAAAATAACTGCTGTTGGAGTAAGTCATCAAACCCCTTTTTGAAGCTTAACTCAACAGAAAACAAGGTCAGATTTGTCGTTTTTGATCAATAATCTCAGGAGAATGACACAGTTGTTGTGATTGCTTCCGTCTGTACCGGTAGTGATTGAGGACTTACAGGCTGGACCCCCTATTTAAAACCTTGTTCTGGATCTGTGGACTGATTTGATCCATATGGGAGCTGAAGCCCCGCAGCAAAAAGAAAGAGAAAAGAACACATGACCCCACAGCCACTATCGGGCCATCCATTCTGAGCATGCAAAGAAGAAGCGTTAGCATTGAAATCAACACAGGACAAAGGCAACTGTTGCAAAAATCCTGCAGGCTGATCAGAACAAAAAAAATAAATAAAACATCTCATTGATTTATGTGTTACAAAATACAACATTTTTCAAACTATGTTAGTTTCATGTGAAACGCCACAGAGGAAGCGCTTTGACATGGCAGCATACCGTTATCATCGCAGGACTCTGACTGGAAGGAGCTGAGGGAGTGGACCTCAGACATGCTGCCTCTGGTGTTGTAGGGGTGACAGGCGCTGTCCTCCACAGGCTTCTTGGTCAGGCACGGGTCCAGGTCCACCACTTTAGCTGGAACACAGAGCACAGTGGGGATTTTAACGTATAACCTCCATACTGTAACATGGAGAAGGTGATCATTACCGTAATTTCCGGACTATAAGGTGCTACTTTTTTCACACGCTTTGAACACTGCGGCTTAAACAATAATACAGCTAATTTATGGGTTTTTACGAATTTGTCTGAGTGATTCTGAGGCTGTTCAATTCCGACACTGAAGACTTTAGTGGTTTTAGTGCGCAGGAGGAAGATGAAAATAGCGATCAATGACTTTTCCTGGTAGGCTGCTGCATTTTTTATTTTTTGAACCAGCCGTGTTACAGGCGCTGTTTGGGAAAAAACATTTACGGTACGTATTTGTGTATGCTAAAGGTACATATTTAAATATCTCATGTTACAACGTGGACACCTGCAGCTTATAGACAAGTGCAGCCTATAGATGTATTTTTTTCTTTTTAAAGTTAGTGGGTGTGGCTTATATTCAGGTGCGCTAAATAGTCTGGAAATGACGGTAATCATAGTACTCATTTGGAACTGAACGCAACTCTTGCCTTGGATGAGATGAGCGAAGTTCAATGAAAAACTTACTGTCATAGTCATAGTCCCNGTGCATGTGAGGTCCTCCCTTTGAAAGTCTGCCCTGCTTGAGTTTAGAAACACACCATGACTGACACTGAACATGAACGCAAAAGTGCTGCTCAGAGCTCCGCTGGTGTCCCAAATATACAAATGAATTTAATTTTTTTTTTCTTTTTTTGGTTGTTTGATGTTTTTTATCTGGGGCTGCACAGTGGCTCGGTGGTTAGCACCGTCGCCTCACAGCTAAAAGATCCCCAGTTCACGTCCCAGTGAGGACACCCTGTGTGGAGTTTGCATGTTCTCCCCGTGCCGCTGGGTTCTGGTTCTCTGACTTCCTCCCACAGCTCAAAAACATGTTGAGGTCAATTGGTGATTCTAAATTGTCTATAGGTGTGAATGTGAGTGTGCTTCTGTCTCTAAGTGTGGCCCTGTGACAGACTGGTGACCCCAGTGAGGATTAAGCGATGTATAGATAATAAATGGATGTTTTCCATCTGTTTATTCTTCCGCTTGCGTCCGTCTTCTTTCACTTCATGCAGCTCTGTTTCCACACACAGGTCTGCTCCAGTTCATCCACAAGGAGACTCTGTTGGTCCGTGGGTCCAGACACAAGCACAGAGAAACAGATGAAGTGAAGGTAACCTGAGCTGCAGACATTCAATGTGTTTCACAACACTAGCGTGGGCGACTAGTTGTGGCTGGATTTTTTTTTTTGTTGCCTCTCATGTAGCGAGGTGGGAAGCGTGGCCGATGCACCTGTTTCGGTCTGAGACGTCGGTCGCTCTAACAACGTCCTGTGGCTCTGAAAGGTTGCACACAGAACCTTTAACAAAAGCAACGAAATGCGGTTTTGGTTTGGACGCGAACAAGCACCATGTATTTGTTTGCCGAGAAAGAAGGAAACAACTTTCTGAGAAGGCATTCCTTGTTTATAAAAAAGTTTTATGACCTTGTAAATTATAGCTGAACACAGTCGGAGTCACACAGATCAGTAAGAAACAAACATGTAACTACAGCTACGTACTATATTTATAACTGCAGATTGTTAGAAACGGAGGAATCTGGGACCCTGTTGATGACTTTTAGCATTTTATGAAGTTAAAACAGTTTCTCACCTTACAGTTGGTTATCAGATCTGCAGAGCATTGCTGATAGAACGAGTCCTGTCACCTCTAATCATAACATCAGCTGTTAAACCTGCAACATTTCCAGCTTTCTGCATTCTGTACAGTGGGTTTTATAAAGCATTTCATGTTCTCAGATTCTCTCCCTGTAGCGGTTGAGCAGTTAATTGATAGGATTTTGTTGATTTAAATACAGTGATGTCATATCTTTGCTTTAATTTTTGTTTTTTAGACGTGTTACCTCAGTATAATGATGTTTTTCCCGACACAGCTATAAAAAAACTGAGTCCAAACCAGAGCAGATTGTAACTCTGCAGCCTGTGATTTAGTCGTGCGACTCTGCTCTCATGCAGACAGTCTCATACCGGTGACATGGTAAGATTCATTAGAGGAAGGCTGAGGAGAGATGTGTCTTGACGGCAGTCGGCCTATTACTGCCATCGTGGAGTGACTGTGCTGTCCTGGCTGCAGGTCAGAAGGTCGTTCTTCCACCACAGAGCCCAGGAAGGAAAACAGTCAATCCTTTGTGGAGTCACGACCAGGTCAGGACAGCGCAGAGAGCCCAACAGTGGAAAAATACAGAGCGCAGAGCGACTGCAGCGGTGGAACGGGCCTGGAGGTATCAGGGTCATGTTATTTTATCAACCTCGTGTGAGACAACCGCGGTTTATTGATACAAGCAGCTGCAGGGAGACAGAGCGGGGAGGTGACACAGAGCAGGCAGACATGAGGGAGGCCTCCAACAAGATGCTGCGCTGCTTCACTGTGTCGATGAGGGATTGCGAAGTGACAAGATACAAATGACTCGTCGTTTCTCAAGTGTAGCTCATTGTGTTACTGCAACTAAAGATTCATTTCAGGAACAGTCTGCCTACAAGTTTCTCAGATACTCAATTGGCCCAATTATTAAGAACAACGTCTGACCAACAGTCCAACAACCCGAAATGTTCAGCGTACCGAAGAGAGCATCGCCGCAGTTCAGTCAGTCTTTTAACTGTAGTAAATAAAGTCTGACTAATGTCTGCATTCTCATGAGACCAAGAAAACACACAAATGTTTACTTTAATCTGATTTTTTTTGTTTAAAAAGTCCAGAAACTTTTGTTAATCTACTATTAAACGGATCATTTCAGCTCCACTTGAACGAAACAGAAATATTAGTTCAAGGGTGTAAATTTGAAGATAAAAAATGACCTGTTAAATAGTTTATATTCATATTTTTATCAGTCCAAACTCAAGTCATTCTCACAAATGACACTGTTGTAACCAAATTACTACTTAGTACTGCATCTTGGTTGGATTAATACAAGAAATAAATGCACACAGACATTCAGAGTATTTTTTAGGAATAATTTATTGCCAGTAGGAAAGCGTGAGCTTGTGGCAGTATTCAATAAAAACCTTAACAAGACCATAGCATTGCTCAGACGCACATAGACACCTGAAAAAGTCACGTGTCCATGGATAACTCTGCACTATAAATATATTGGGTCCCATTTTCTTGGTGGAAAAATAAAGAGGTTCCAAAGTCAAAATGTACAAACAAACAAATTAAAAAAAACAAAAAGAAAAAAAAAAACAAACAACACAAGAATATGCAGTCGTTCATTGAAGACCCTTTTTGAAATGAGCAAGAGACAATAAACTTTTACGAGTACACTGTGTTCAGAAAAGCCACGCTCTTCTCTTATCTCTTTTTTTAATGTTTATTTTTTTTTAGTGAATGTAAGCACAGTAAGGCTGATAATGTCACACCATTTAACTCTTTTTTTTTTGTTGTTGAAAATAAAAGCATAGAATATCTACAAAACCTAGTAAACTTTGAAATCAAAACTGTACATTTAAATTTACATTGAAAATGAGGACTTGTATAAAAACATTTTGCTTGGTTTGTTTATAGAAACAAAGATATTTTCATGAAATATTCTTTTTTGTTTTTTTTCATGATGCTTTTCCTGTTGTACATTGAAATGTTGATCCTTCAGACGATCCACCTCCTGTGTATGATGACAGTTACTTAAAGCAATGGCACCGCCAACTCAAAGGGGCAGGAGTTGGACCGAGCAGATGCAAAGAGGCTACAGTCGCTCCTGTAGTTTCTTCAGATCTTCTCAGCCGAATGGCCCTCAACCAGTCTCAACAACCCCTGTTTTTACTCAGATTCATCGTTTGTGTCAGTGTGCATGTATGTGTGTGGTGTTGGTTTATGTGTCCACATACTGTGCGTGTTTACCGTGAGTGGTGTGTCAAGGGCTAACATAAGGTGTAGCTGTGGGTTCAGGCACTTTTGTTTGGATCCAGTGTCAGACTTCAGTGTGCTGTTGGGAGTCCAGCGCCGGGATGGCCAGCCGCTCGAAGTGGCCCTCGTCTCCGCTCTCGTAGTCGCTTATCATCACCTCGGACTCCTCGCAGCACGCCGACATGTCCGAGCAAGAGGCCGTGGACGTGTACAGAGACATGGACATGTTGTCCAGAGCTGAGGAGTCAAAGTCCCGACTACAGCCTAGAGGGTAGCCCCCTCTGTAACCGCCGGTGCCCATGGTGGAGGCCGGGGTAATGGTGGCGGAGGAGGTGCCCTGGCCCTCGGTGTCACCCCCATCGCTTGGGTAGGAGTGCTGTGGCAGATACTGGTTAAGGCTGTAGAGCTGGGGCAGGGCTGGGCGCTGGCGGACCCCACCTGAGCCGCCCGAACCGCCCACAGACGGGTCCAAGTCTCTGCCGAGGGGCCGCAGTGTGTCACAGCGGTCGCTGTACTCTGGCAAAGGTGGCGGCGGTAGGTCGTCGTTGGCAGGGAAGTCCTCTGGCGGCGGAGGGAAATCGCTCTCAATGTCAAAGCCGCCTGGATAATAGTCGGTGTCGATGGCACTCGGGTCACTGTACAGAGGGGCGGGTGACTCCACAACCTCATACTGTGGAAACTCCTGGATTCCAGGAAGTTGAACACTTGGCATCCAATCAGATGTGTCCCAGTGATATCCTGTGTGAAAAGCAAAGACCAAAGACAAATATTAGGTCTGTGACAAAGCTCAATGCAACACATTGAGCTGTTAACATCCACCAAATGCCATCTTGTTAATGTTAAAACCCCACACCATGCAACAGCAACACAGGTCCAAGTAACACCAACAAAACTTAACGTCACACAACTGTCTGAACAACATCTTAACACACTTCACAAATGCAACGACAGTGAAATAAAAAACAAAAAAACAACAGATCTAATTCAGTCTCCTTGTTATTTGTTCAGTTATCTTTTGTTAAATGCTAAAAGTATGTCAAAAAAATTCCTTGTTTTTTTTAAATCGTCAAACTATTTTTGATGGCTCTTCTTGATATATTCATAAATGTGTCTAATCAAAGATGAGCGCTAACGCTTGCAGCGAGCAGAGAGATAATCGCCGGTGTTATAGGAGTGTGTTTGGACATCGGTTGGAAAAAAACAATTATTGGTATTGTTAAGTTCAAACTAATAACACCAGTGATGGAGGTATAAAATACAGCTTTGCATCCTACTGCAGCTATTGTGCCAATATGTTGCTAAGTGACATCACTTCTGAACAAATGTATTAAATATAAGCAACATATTTTGCTCCAGTTGCATTTTTTTTACTCACTCTGGGCTTCTTTACAATTAAAGTCTATGGCAACAGCACAACCACGGCTACAATCAGAGAAAAGTAAAAAAGTGTCTTCTGTGTAAATGTTTATTGTCGTGCATCATAAGTTGAATTTCGTTGATGATTTCTTTTATAAAGATTTAAAAAATAGTTACTACTGGCTTCCGGGTGCACTGAGGATCACATATTTTTTTGTTTTTTAGCCAATCTGTTTAGCAGTTTAGCAAAATTTTAAATGACACATGTAGAAAAGGGAAGTTTTCTGATCACAGGTGAGCAGTTCAATGACTGTCGGATAATTCTTTCTGTTTTTATAGTTTCTGGCTCTGATTAGTGGCAACTATTAAAAAAAAAAAAAAAAGTTGATGTGTCTTTTAAAGCGGTGGGTTTTGGGGCTCAGAAGGTTAAAAAGATAACTACACCTCACCCAAATGCACAGTTGTCCTTCCCTCCACCTCCGTAATCACATTTCAAAATAAAACGACATTTTGACACACTCTTAACACTGGTAGCACAAACACACAAACACAACATGACTAAGAGGATATCCAGTTAGTGACTGAGCCACACCTTTGATCATCTTAATGTCATCAAAGCCATGCAAAGGAGTGTTTCTGGGGCGATAAGTAGTCTTACAGAGGCAGACACAAACACCTTAGAAGACCATTGCTGCATAAAGAGCGCTCAGCGTCACAGCAGCTTTAAAGCTCCTCTTTTAGGATTTAGGGTTAGTGGGTAGAAGTTAGAGGATGGGATCAGGGTAAAACCAGGCAAACAAAGATGAAAAAACAAGTCACCTCTTGGGTTCTTGAGATCATGAGCCAAAAAAGACTCTTTACATGAGGCAAAGAAGAGGGAGAAAAAGAGAAAGAACAAGTCACGTTAAAATCTAACAGGAGAGAACAATCGACTGAGAACATGAACGAAATGAGGAACACAAGTAACGATGACGGGAATGACAGGTAAATGAATGCACAACCGCTTTGCCATTTTCTTAGACAGACTTCTTAAAAGTGCGAGTTGGAGACGAACAATGCCGAGGCAACGCTTAAGCTGCCGGTTTAATTTTGTATTTGCATATCTTTTTAATTAGCAGCTGAATCTTAAAAAAAAAAAAAAAAGGCAGAAGTCAGGGTCGGATGAGGTTTGTCAGTGTAAGATAATGGCAGCGCTACAACCTACACTTCACATCCCAACACCGAGAACAAAACTAGCGGCAGATGAAAGCTAGACGAGTACCTTCTCCTTCCACCGTGTCAACAGCAGAGTTGACAAGGTGGATTATTGTCACTATGGAGGCTTGTGAGAGGCAGGGGAGAGGAGGGGGGGGAGTGGGTGGAAGAGATCTTTCATTAGTACAAATGCGTCTATCATTTGTAAAGAAAGAAAAGGAAGAACAAAGAAGAGACACATATGGAATGCGCAGTGGTGCCAACACTTCCCACAAATGTTGTCGTCCCTGTTGCTGGACGAACTTTGTCTGTTGTGTGTCTGAGGGGGTTTCATGACTGGGCACAAGACAATGGAGGAAGGCAACACAGTGGTGTGTGTGTGTGTGTGTGTGTGTGTGGAGGGATGGAAGGAGAGGAGGGGGGGTCTGGTTTTGTTTGTGCAAGATAACACACAACAACAACATACTGAGATGCTAGCGGGTGCCATTGACAGTACAGATGGAAGAATCAGTGAAATTCCCCAGAGATATAAACACATTTCCAACCCTAAACACAGAGAGAGAGAAAAAAAAAAAGGCTGTGTGTGTTTGGAAAACAAACTGAGGGAATGAGGAAATAGAAAATACCTGTTTGGAACGGTTCTAATTGAAATTTAGGATTTGTTTTTGAAGGTATAGGATGAAGGTTTTGATGACTTATGAGCAGCACAGTCCCCATCATGGCGTCCCGGTGATGACGACGGGTAATTAAGAGTGATGTGATGGAAAAATGGGAGAACATAAAATATGCTTGTATACCCTTGTGATATGTTCCTTGATATTTGCTTTAAACATCCGCTTGTAGCTATGTTTTGAGAAACAAAAAAAGAACAGACAAACAAAAGAAAAAGAAAAGGCATGCTTGTAAATTTAAAAAAAAAAAGAAGTAAAAATGCAAAGTCAATGATCCCATGAGTCAAACAGAAAATAACTGCTGTTGGAGTAAGTCATCAAACCCCTTTTTGAAGCTTAACTCAACAGAAAACAAGGTCAGATTTGTCGTTTTTGATCAATAATCTCAGGAGAATGACACAGTTGTTGTGATTGCTTCCGTCTGTACCGGTAGTGATTGAGGACTTACAGGCTGGACCCCCTATTTAAAACCTTGTTCTGGATCTGTGGACTGATTTGATCCATATGGGAGCTGAAGCCCCGCAGCAAAAAGAAAGAGAAAAGAACACATGACCCCACAGCCACTATCGGGCCATCCATTCTGAGCATGCAAAGAAGAAGCGTTAGCATTGAAATCAACACAGGACAAAGGCAACTGTTGCAAAAATCCTGCAGGCTGATCAGAACAAAAAAAATAAATAAAACATCTCATTGATTTATGTGTTACAAAATACAACATTTTTCAAACTATGTTAGTTTCATGTGAAACGCCACAGAGGAAGCGCTTTGACATGGCAGCATACCGTTATCATCGCAGGACTCTGACTGGAAGGAGCTGAGGGAGTGGACCTCAGACATGCTGCCTCTGGTGTTGTAGGGGTGACAGGCGCTGTCCTCCACAGGCTTCTTGGTCAGGCACGGGTCCAGGTCCACCACTTTAGCTGGAACACAGAGCACAGTGTTTTAGCGTATAACCTCCATACTGTAACATGGAGAAGGTGATCATTACCGTAATGTCCGGACTATAAGGTGCTACTTTTTTCACATGCTTTGAACACTGCGGCTTAAACAATAATGCAGCTAATTTATGGGTTTTTACGAATTTGTCTCGAGACGAAAGTGACATTGAGAGTGACAACGAAAGAGAGACCGAGGAAGTGTGTGACGGAGTGATTCTGAGGCTGTTCAATTCCGACACTGAAGACTTTAGTGGTTTTAGTGCGCAGGAGGAAGATGAAGATAGCGATCATTGACTTTTCCTGGTAAGCTGCTGCATTTTTTATTTTTTGAACCAGCCGTGTTACAGGCGCTGTTTGGGAAAAAACATTTACGGTATGTATTTGTGTTTGCTAAAGGTACATATTTAAATATCTCATGTTACAACGTGGACACCTGCAGCTTATAGACAAGTGCAGCCTATATATGTATTTTTTTCTTTTTAACGTTAGTGGGTGTGGCTTATATTCAGGTGCACTCAATAGTCCGAAAATGACAGTAATCATAGTACTCATTTGGAACTGAACGCAACTCTTGCCTTGGATGAGATGAGCGAAGTTCAATGAAAAACTTACTGTCATAGTCATAGTCCCAGTTCGGCTTCTGGATGGAGTCGCTGTCTGAGACGGAGTTGGAGGGAGGGGGAGGAGGGAGATTGGGCGCTACGCTGCACACGGCCACGGTCTTGCGGTGTCCGTGCACAGAATCCGGGTTGAAGGTGCTGAACTCGGGATGCTCCGGGATGGCCGAGCCCTCGAACGAGTTCCTGTCCAGGTTGTTTCGCGAGTCGCTCGGAATGCTGGGAGTGTAGGAGATGGGCCGCACGGGAACCTGAGGAGGGATGTCCGAGTAGATGTTTTTGTTGAGTTTGGCGTCAAAGAAAGGCCTCTGGAGGAAGGAGTGAGGCACGTTTGAACCTCCGGGGCGCATGTCGTCGTCGTCGGACTTGGACTTGCTGCGACAGGCCCTCTTGCGGATGATGATGAAGAGGAGGACCAGGATGAAGATGCTGGACACGAAGATCACGATGCCGATCACCTCCTCCAAGCCGATGTTCCAGGAGGTGGAGACGAACTCGTTACGGAGCTCAACGCGGAGTTCGCACGTCTGCCCGTTGAAACCCAGCGAGCAGTTACACTTGTAGGAGCCGTACGTGTTCTGGCACTGGCCTCCGTTGGCGCACGGGTTCTTGATGCACTCGTCAACATCACTCAGGCACCTGGACGAGACACAGGAATTCAGCGAGGTGAGTTGGAGGGAGAAACACTGGCTGTAACCGCTGGAGCAAATCATCAGATGTTTTGTAGTTGGGAGATGTTAAATAATTAGGTGAGTTGATTTATAAATTTGAACTAAAAACTGACATACCTGTCTCCCTGGAAGCCTGCCTCACACTCACACACCGGACCGTCCAGACTGTCGATACACTTCCCGCTATTCTTGCAGGGGTTGTCTCTGCAGTACGGCCCCAGCTGGCACCTGAAGTTGAAACAAGGTTACTCATGTGAACAGTAAGAATGGCATGAAAACTTGATTTGTGAATGCAATCAGAGTTTTTGGGTCCAAACAGGTTAAATGTTGCTGGAGGAAATGACATAAATACATACTATATATCATTGCTGGCTAATATTAAACTGACACGAGCTCCTTTTAAGGACACCGATTATCTCTTTACTATGACGAAAATGTTTTTACCAACATGGCATCAATGCTGTGGCGGGTAGTGTTCGTTTTATGAAGATCAGAAAGAAAACACCGTAATACCTTTGTCCTGAGTACTGCCCTCTGCACTGGCAGTAGAAGTCATCTGCACGAGGTACACAGGTGCCGCCGTACAGACAGGGGTTGGAGGCACAAGGACTTATGGCAATCTCACAATGCGTGCCCATGAAAGAGGCCGGACACTTGCAGAAGTAGCCTGTGGAAGACAGAAAACAAAGCTAATCAGGAAAATACTACAGAGAAATCATAATTTCATGATAATTTTTTCTTTTTTTTCCTTTTACAAGCCTGGTGTTTTTTTTAAACTCAACACATCCTGCAGATGTTTTACAAATACCCTTCTGGTGATGGTAAGTAATTATGCCCCCGGACCACTGGCAGGTTTGTAATGTGAAACAGATGCAGAAGTGTGGAGTTTGCATTAACAGCAAACAACACAGGCTGCAACTGCAAATTAACACAGCAATGGCACACACCAGGAATACTAAATGATGATTATGCATACCTATAAAACAGACAGAATTACTACTTTAGGCCTGCCTCCAATAGCTAGTCTTGATTAAAAGCATGGTTTTCAACTCTTCTGCTGAAAATGTACCCTTATTGAGAATAGCAGAAAAAACAGCGATGCTTGATTTGAAGTTAGTTAGGCAACAATAGACAATCAGAGAAAGATTTAAACGTCTTAATCTAACCCAGACTCATGTGAAAGTGCACGTAGTTGAGAAGGAGAAATAAACGAGTGCCGCGAGCTAAGCAGGACATGGCGTACCTCCATTAGGCAGTGATGTGCAGCTCCCGCCGTTGGTGCAGGGGTTGCTGGAACAACTCTCAGCAGGTGCGAGCGCGCAGCCCGGAGCCACGTCCACGATGTCCTCCAGCACAGCGTGGGCTCGGTGAGCTCTGGTGTTGAGAGGCAGCTCCTGGCCATTCAGGGTGATGGCCTCCATGCAGCCGCGGAGCCCGTTGGTGACGGGCAGGCTGCGGCCGTGCCGAGCCGAGGTGAGCTGCTGGCGTACGTGACCGCCAAAGTAAATACTGTTGTCAAGGTTGAGGGTACGCAGAGTGCCCGGTGCTGTGCCTGAGGCAGCGTGCACCCGGTCCAGCACCAGTTTAGCATAGTTGCCGTCCACCTCCAGTGAGACGGAGTGCCACTCTCCGTCGTTAACCTGAGCGCTGTGGACTGACACCAGGCCTGGACCGCTGCCGCAGTCAAACTTGTACTGCAGGCGGCCGTTCACGATCTAGTTTAAATACGGAAAAGTTACAAGAGTTAGAACATGTTTAATATCATCTCATCGGTTCTGCTCTTTGTTCCTGCCTCAGATTAACACTCCACAAAATTAAAACTCACGCTGATCAAATCATCAAGTCGCTGTTACAAATCAGTTTCTGACATCCTCTTATTGGTATGCCATGAAAGAACATTTCAATTCTCCTAATCGTATTACACAACATCACATTATCAGCATATACTGTTGTACACCAGCATTGTACAACAATATAACTTCTGTTCAAGCCTCTAAAATAAACACACAAAGTGCAGATATTTAAAGCCTTACATGTCGACCTGAGACACAAAACTGTGTTGTAGTCAACCAGGTTCTTTGTCTGAACTCTGGCATGCAGACTGCTTTACCAGACAGACTCGAAAAGGAATGTGTGGAAAACTGCTTTCTGCTTCCCTCCCAGTACTAAAATAGCTCATGTGTGTGTTTTTCAGCCCACCACCACATTCCCATAGTCCCTCATGTGAAAGGAGTTTTAAAATGGCTTTTTTTGAACCCTTCAGCACAGTCGGTTGGTACACATGGCTGGCTGGTCTCGAGGGAGGGCAGGTCAGTTGTGTGTTTATTAAGCCCTTCTGATATGGAAATGCTGGGCAATAATATAGAGACGGGCTAAGAAATGCAGGGGGACAGTCAGTCTAGACTTACTTATTATAAGGATGGTTATCAATTCAGTTTTTTAGAAAAAAGACTGAAAGAATAAATATACCCCTGAGTGACTCAGCCGGAGTAATTTCCCTGCAGGGATTATTTAAGCAATTCTGATTCTGATTTTGTTGGGGCTCGACAAATAGTTTACACACAAACACACACCTCAAGGATGCTGTAGTCGGTCCCTTTAGCATACATGACAGTAGCATGGCTGGAGAAGGTCCTGAGCCTCAGTGATAGCTTCATCAGCTCCTTGTTCTCGGTCTCCATCAGATGGTATTTCACGTAACCGTTTCCATTGAACGTCAGCGAGTGGCCATCTGGATTAAAAAGAGCAAGGACAAAACAGCAGAAAAAAGTCAAACACTGGGCATCATTCTTGGATTATTTTCTTTATCGCAGCAAGTAGAGAAAGTTAGGGAGAGAAGGGCAAAAAATATCTAAGATCACAGATAAAGAGATAGAGTCTTACCAGAGCATTTGCCCTTTTTGCCCTCAGGACACACACAACTGTACACAATATCTCTTGGATCTGCCACACACTCCGTACCCTCAGGACAGTGGTTGTTCTCACACAGGTTGGTCACCACAGGACATCTGCTGCCTAAATACGAGAAGAAAAAAAAACTCCACTGAGAACGGCAGCTCTGATTGTACAACGGAGTATTAGGGCCACATTAATAAAGTCATAATTTTACGAGAATTAAGTTGAAATTTTACGAGAAAAAAAGTGGTAATAATATGATAATGAAGTCGTAACATTGAAACCAGTTGTTCTAAAAGAGGAAAGGTGTTCAAATGAGGGCTGTGGAGCATTTCGTTGTACTTCAGCATCGGCTTCACAAACCAGGAGATACTTTATCTTCATTTTATTCTCATAAAATTGCAACTTTTTTTCTCGTAAAATTACTACTTTATTCTTGTAAAATTACAATTTTATTCTTGTAATTTTTCAACTTTATTCTCGAATCTGTGGTAAAAGATCTTTCTCAATGTGGCCCTAACACCCCGTCGTACTAATAGATCAATCATGAGTAAATGTGAGTTTGTTTGCGTGGAAGCGTCGTCAGCGTACCTTCACACTGGCAGGTTGCGACTCTCTGGTGTCGCGGCGTGACGAAGCTGAGGCGGGCCGTGCTGTACGTGGACATGGAGGTCTTATCCAGGGAGATGACCTCGTCGCAAAAGTGTAACGGGCAGTCCAGACCGGCGCACAGCTTCTGCACCACCCGCACTATGCGGACCCCCGTCATCTCCTCGATCACCGCCGCAGAGGAGTTCAGCTTCCGGAAGACGACCTGAAGAAAACAGAAACACGGACGGATTCAATAAAGGGGATTCGCGCTGATATGAGAACTCCATTAAACCATTAGGAGACTGAAAATGAAGCAGCAGCAGGTCTGATAAGTGATTAATGGTTGGTTTCATTTGAAGGAAAAAGCTGAAACAATCGGCTGATTAATCAGTTAAGAAATTAATTTCGATACTGATTATGCATTTTGTCCTTTTTTCAGGAGCAGTTAATTTTCAGTTATTTCTACACTATACATGTTTAGAGCTCAAACGATTAGTTGAATAATCAGATACGTCAATTATTCAGCAACTACTTTGACAACTGAGTCACTTTTTTTAATACAAAAACAATAAACATTTGCTTGTTCCAGTTACCTAAAGTCCCTCTCTAGTCATTGATTAAACCCAAAATCACTAATCTCTGTGTATTAAAGCTTTCATTTAGAAGAATTGTTAATTTTTTCTAATTAAACAACTGAAAGAAATCAGCCTGGGTTCTGAGACATGCTGACATCTGGGAAATAATCATCAGATTAGTAAATAGCAGGATAATAACCTGTTAGTAAAATCGTTTGCCGTAGCAGCACAATCCACCACTGATTTTTGCAACTGGCTGCTCTTACCTCCTGAGATTGGTAGGGGCTGCCAGATCTCTCCAGCGTCAACAGGACATCCAGATCTCCTTGCTCTGAAGGCTGCAGGCTCACCAGCTGAACCTCACTCCTCCGAACCCCGGCGATGTTTCTCAGCGCTCGCTGGAAGTTGCGCCAGTAGTCCCCGATAAACTCCTCCGGGGCGATATTAGCGAAGCGCACAGCGATGGAGTTGTCCAGGGCCTGACGGGTCACTTGTCGAACGTGCACGGTGACATCAGCAGGCGTGGTGAAGCGTCCGTCGGTCACCGTCACGTTTAGAGGGTAGTGGCCCACGTCGAGCGGCCGCAGGGCGATGACTTTGCCATCGGAAGCCGAAATCGAAAACAAGGCGCCGCTTTCGTCGGAGGCTGAGGGCGATGACGGGGCGAGGCTGTAGGTGAGCGTGTCGTAGACGTCCTGGTCGGTGGCGTGGACCTTGCCGAGGACGCCTCCAGGATATTCATCCCCAGCAGTGGAGACGAAAATGTCCAGCGGGAGAATGGCTGGAGGGTAGACGCTCTCTTCTATTATACGCACGCTGATGAAGGCGGTGGAAAAGAGCTGAGGTTTGCCACTGTCTGACACCTGAACAAGAGAAAAGAGAAGGAGGCACATCGTTTTATATTTTTTCCAACAGCAGAGGGCAATCAAGCTCTTGCGCTCCTCATATCCTTAAGATACCAGCATCTATACACTGTAGGTGCACCAGACATTAAAGCCAAGCAGACATTTATGAGAGCAGACATTGTAACACTTTCACAGGGATGGTCAACGGTTCTGCAAGAAATAAGATGACTCAGATCTCAGGGTGCATTTCATGTGTAGCAAGACATCACACTTACATTTCATGTCCCATCTGCCCACTCAGTTTTTCTCTGTTCTTTCCTCTAAGGCGACACGTGATCGAGCTAAATCACAGCAAATGTCTTTTATTTCTGCTTCTCCTTGAGAGTACGACTGTTTCAAGTGAACGTCTTACATGAAGTTGTTTGCAGCAATACAAGCTGCATTTAGAATTCATTTGGAAGCGTTGAAGGATGGAGATGCAGAGAGGAACGCTGACAGAAAAGGCAAATAGAGCACACTGACCGTTCAATCAATACAACCTCTCAACTCTGGCTCCTCCTCAGTGCTGTGACTCACCTGTGCTTCAAGTAGGTAGTGTTCTTTACTCTTCCTGCTCAGCGCCCCCACGGCCAGCAGAGCTCCCTGCTGGTCGATGTGGAAAGCATCGCCCTCGTTCCCGTTCACGATGGCAAAGGTGAAAGGTGGGCCATTGTGAGAAGCATCCCGATCCGTTACGGTGAACTGAAGAACACTTGTGCCTTTTGGTCGATTCTCCTGTTGGGAACAAAAGAGGTGTGTTTAACACTTGTGGGGGGGAAGGAGGTTAGGTTGTCGTGAAGTGAATGATGTTGAATTCTGCTACGTTCAAATACAAATACAAGTTGAGTTATGCACTTAGAGAACGCTGCTGCGCTGCAGCAACAACGACTGTCAGAAACGGAATTCATTTAATTTCCCTTGGACGATTTATTTTTTTCGAGCTAAAAAAAACCCCCCAAACTCCTGAACGCTTTATTTAAGCCGATGAACACCAAAACTTGCTGGCAGGTTTGAAAAAACATGCTTTCCATATTTCTTGGAGCCAGAAACAGTAAAAATTTGCAGCGGTCCTTGAACTACTCATCTGTAGGACAACTTGATCAAATGTAAGATTAAAATTATAACACAGATTCGTTCTCTTCCGCATGATTTGCAATTACTTCGCTGATCCCTTGACTTTGCATGTAGCACAATCAGGTCAAAGTTTCTATCTGACAAACACTTCCATTGATGGAAACATACTTTCAAACCTACTGACGCTGCCACCAACCTTCAGCTCCATGTAATCACGCAAACACGCTCCACTGAGATGGTTAACTTAGCAAACATTCGCCCGTCAACAGCAGCATTGTCACTGTTAGCCTGCTGTGTTTAAGCACAGCTCCGCTTTTATGAATCTGGCACTGATGTTTGTCAGTTGTCCTTGTCTAACAGCTTGTACACAGCGCTGCAGCTAAGCCTCTGATGAGTAACAGTAAAAGAGAGCACGTCAGTTTTATAGGCTTTGTCTTTGTTTTTCTGTCCCTGAATGGGCTTCACATCTGTCCCTTCTGTTGACTCTTTTATGTCCTCGCTCAAAACTCACTTTTATTCCGAAGTGTTGAAAAAACTATTGATCTTTCTGGTGGTGCGTACAGTATATGCGTGCTGTGTGCTTTTTTACTTGCTCTGTTTTAGGAGGATTTAGTACTGTACTTTGATCAAGGCTTAATGGTGCGTAAATTAAAGCCAGCGAGGAGGCAGAACCGGGCTTCATCCTGAAGAGTTTGACGTGTTTGCAACGTGTACTATGCCTCCTCACAGCATCTCTTAAACTGATCTTTTTTTTTGGTTTTCTAAATAGACAGGAAAATTGGAAACAATTCATCTTCCCTCCTACCTTTGGATTCACAGCTTTCTTTTTTTGTTTTTTATCTCTAAAACTGGAGCACAGATACTTGTAATTTTTCTACTATACACCTCCCCATCACTCCAGCTCTTCCAGCCTTTATCAGCTTAGTATCTCTCACCTCCCTTACCTTTCTCCTCCTTTACAGTCCTTTCCTTTCATTCCTGATTTGCATTTTTATACTTAAGATGCAGCCTCTGTCTTTCAATCCCCTCACCCGCCTCTTCCTCCTCTTTTCTTACCTCTGTTCTCGCTCCATCCTCCTACTTGCTTCTTGACATTCTAGTCGCAGTCTCCCATTATTTCTCCCTGTTAATCCCTCTCTCTGTGTCCACTGCAATCCCCCCCCTGCACCTCCTCCTCTCTTTCTTCCTTTCCATCTGCTTCATTCTCTCTCCACCCTTAATCAGTTATCTGCACTGACCCCCTTCTCTTCCCCACCACCACCCCTCTCTCACCTGGATGATGAGGCTGTAGTTGGCCTGGGAGAACAGGGGCGGGTTATCGTTGACGTCTGAGATGTCAATGTTGATCATGGCGCTGCTGGAAAGAGGAGGCACCCCGTTGTCTGAGGCTACCACCGTCAGAGTGTACCCAGATGTCTGAGAGGGGGAGAGAGAGAGAGAGAGAGAGAGAGAGAGAGAGAGAGAGAGAATCACCATCCATACGCAAAGCTGCTTTTGTAAGCAATAATGCAGCTGAGATCGGTAAACAAGCCTCCCTATTAGGCCTGACATGACTCTGATTGGATTCTGCATAGACTGCAATTAGTTCCTCGGTGGATTAAACTGTATGTGAACAGTCAGCATTGTATCTGCTGTTTCTCTTACTCGCTCTCTGTCCAGCTGGCGAGCAACTTTAAGCTCTCCTCTGACCGGATCAATGGTGAAGGGGCTGCCTTGGTTACCGTCCACAATGGAGTAGCGTACGTGATTGTAGGAAGGCCCGTCGGTGTCCTCGGCCATCACCTTTGAATCAATCAAACATAAACACCGCAATCAATCAGTCAATCAGCAATCCCTGAAGAAGAGTTGCCTGTGTACACGTTATGCCAACACAGGCTCCAAAAACCTACTTTCTCACTGGGGGTTACTAAATGAACCCAATTATTATTTCCAGATGATGTTGTGCGTCCAATCCATGTATGTTCTTGTCACAGAGACTAACAGGAAATGATTTGTCACACTTCATGGACCAATCAGGATTTAGTCACATTTGAATTAAAAGCTGGTTAACACTCAGTTACATTGTTCTAAACTTCATCTTTGACTATTTAATTAATGTTGCATGGGAATTTGGGGGGATTTAAATTGAAGATTTTTTAGGAGTTTTAAAGCTCTAAGGCTGAAATAATTAGTCAATTAGATCAGCTGCTCAGTCGACAGATCAGCAGCAGTTTTGACGACTGATCAACTCTCCCGTTATCTTTGGGGTCAATTTAGCCCCATTTAATGTTTAATATCTCTAAATAAGTCATTGATATATTTTTTCAGTTTTATTTAAAGGGCTATTTACACATAAACTTGAGTAACAATTTTAATTCTGATATTTTCTGGAGGTTTAAATTGCTGGAGGTCAAATTGAACCCAAGGATAACAGATGTCAGTAAATTTGAAGGTAATAGGAGGGTTAGTACTCCCAGTTGAACGCTGTCCGAGATGTTACGTTTCTCTTTTATATTGGATTAAACAAAGCGGCTCCAGGTTGAACTCGTAGTCACTCAAAACATTACTTTACCTTGGTTTTTTTCATTATTTTTGAAATACTTTATCTAGAAATAATGTCTGTTTAATCACAAACAAACAAAAAACTGTTCGTTGCAGCCTTACGATATCATACAGATGCTACAACCCTGGTCCTCCCGTTCACCCTCCTCCACACAGTCCTAAAACCCACCAGCCGTCACACACTGAAAGGGATCCCCGGGGAAATCAGTAGACAGTGAAGATTTACAAGTATGGGACAATGGCAGGTATTAAAATCTAATTTTCTGATGGATAATTTATATTCAGGTACATTAGACTCGCAGATAAATGGCCATAAGCAGAGGTCTTTTACGAGGGGAGGGGAGAGGGGGTGGGCTGCAGGCGTAGACGGCAATCGATGGGAACAAAAGGTTGAAAACGCCTTATCTCGGACGGTAGCTTAATGAGTCAAATGCCTTTTAATTAAACTGTTTGAGCATGTGTGTCAGATAGTGCAACCAGAACAGGGGTGCAGTGAGCATGAAGAGCACTGGTCCTAATTTAGCTGTTCCACCAGATGGTGATTTGCCACAGGTGCAGATATGTGATAGTGCATTCAGTGAGTAATGGGCAGAGAGGAGAAAAGGCTGTGAGGGAGTCAATGAACGGCTGAGTGAGAAGGTGAACGAACTGACAGATTTAGCTGGAGGAAAGTTAAGACGAGGAGATGAAAAATGTCTCTCGCCCCGCATGTAGTTTTATAGTAATTATGGGGTTACTCCCCCACAGCAAGCAACCTGCTGTATATAAACACGTCCCTGAAGACAGCGTGCACATTCTTACCGCCATCACAGTCTTTCCCAGCTCGGTGTCCTCGCTGATGACGGCTGTGTAGACGTCCTGGCTGAAGACAGGTCTGTTGTCGTTGACATCAGTCAGGTTGATGTTCACGGTAGCCATGTCACTGAGCGGTGGGGAGCCGCCATCTGTAGCCTCTATGGTAATGTAGTATTCATGGGCGACCTCGTAGTCCAGCGGCTCAATCACGAAGATGTCACCTGAGGACAAAGACAGACGGATGTAAGGCAGGAGAGTAGGGAGAGCTGGACTTTTTTTTTTAAGAAATGAAAAAAGGAAAACCCTTGTGATATAGCAGTACATTTTAAAAAACACAAATCAACATGGTGACACCCACTGCTTTTTTATTTTTATCTGTTGCATCTGCAGCTTTGTTTTGCAGAGGAGTAACCTGCTGCAAATAAGTCCTTTTGCTGCTCCTGTCATAAGTTGTGTCAGTTAGGTTTATACTCCTACATGCAAACATCTTCTGCTCAAATTCACCTGAAACCACAAGTCAAATCGTCACCGGCTGTCAATTGTCATTCAAAAATCAAACCAGTCTCTGCCACACTGCCTTTCGTCGCTGCTTGTTTTCACTTGTAAATATCTGTGTACAGGTCAAGGTGTCTGGCATTGCTTGATGCTACTTTTTGGCCATTTGTTCTAATTGCAATTTAGCATGACAGTGTAAAAGCTGGAAGCAGGCTGTTAAAGTGATCTCCAACATTGGATTTATAACCTCGTATTTGCATAAACGCTGAGGTGGTGATTGGAAACTGTATTCTAATTCAGTCAAATTCTTAAAAGTTTTAATCATTTCATGTGAACTTTAATTTGGCTGAAATAGGTGCAGAAATTCTGTAATACTAAAGAGGACAGTAACAAAAGAAGTTTTCATGCGACCACGTACCAGTGCGTGGATCGACGCTGAACATGCCGTGCTCGTTCCCACTGATGATACTGTATGAGATCTCTCCGTTGGCGTCCGTGTCCCTGCTGGCTGCCTGCACTCTGAGCACTTGCGTACCCACAGCTACATCCTCAGTCACGGTAGCTGTGTATTCCCGGTGCTCAAACACAGGTGGGTTGTCGTTGATGTCCAGGACCGAAACCACCACCTGGCACACCGAGGACAGGCGAGGCGAGCCCTGGTCGCTGGCTCGGGCCTTCAGCTCGTACACTGACTGCACCTCGCGGTCCAGGGGCCGCTCCAGGCTCATTACACCGGTGTGCTCGTCAATTGAGAAAAACCCGTCGGCAGAGTCAACCAGTGAGTAGAGGATGTCGCTGTTGAGACCTAGAATGAGGAAAAACGGGACAAGTCAGTTCTTCTGCAACATAAATGTTTCATTCCCTGTTAGTTCTGATGAAAAACTCTCCAGTTGACAACTTGTTTGGGTATCTGACCTATCACGCTGCCACCCACATCTCAGCCCTTATCATAAACAATAAGCATAATGGCCACGTCAACAGAAATACAGGGTGTCAATAAGCATACTGATTCTTACATTGATGTATTGATTCTTAAATGAGTAAAAACCGTCACCTTCTATCCGCATCCCAAAACATCCATCTTTCACGCAGCCTCTGATAAACAGGAGCTGTAAACGTCTAATCCATGCAATCCTCATAACTCATGTCCTCCCACAAGCAAGACGGTCCCAGAAACAAGACAGAGACGGATCACAATAATAATCATAATGCTCTTCTGCAGGTGGCCCCCATTTGGAACGCGCTATTATATTCCCATTTATCAGGTAAGTGGCCCCATCCTCGGTGGATCTCATTATCATGCCGGAGAGCCTACCTGGGGGAACCCTGCTTATACGGTTTCTCATCACTTTCATCCGGTCTGATCGTCTTTGAGATGATTGCTTAATGGTGGTTAAGTGAACTGAATTGTGATTGCTTATTTGGCCTAATACACAGATATTTGTGATTACATAGTCCTGTGGTTGGAGGGTTAAATAGTAAAGCAGAGCTCGAAGATTTGGTCAATTGACAGGAAATAAAAATGGAAACTTCCTCCCACTACATACATCACCTTCAGCTGTCAAAAATCTATTTTCAACATTTCCTAGACAAGAAGATAATGACAACAATCACTAGTTGTAGCCCTAAATTAAAGACAATATTGCAAAGCTTATTACTCATTTAAATCTCTCTAATCTTAGCGTATAAAGCAAATACACTGCACATTCATCTTCACTGCAGACAGATTTCATTTTGTTCACAAGTGGATTGGTATTTTAAGATTTTTTGAAGCTTTTGGTGGAAAGCTTGTGAAGAACACGTATGGATCGAGCACAGCAACAAGGTAAAGAAAGTATTCGTATTAGAAATTGTAGGACAGTAGCATCCAGGTCGACTAGTTGGTCAATTTGCTGTCATCCAACCCAACTCTCATTGATCAGACAATCCCCTGTGTTGCTTTTATAAGGAGAAAAGTGCCACATCAAGAGCCTTCCAGGATTAGTTTTGGAACCGACTCCCTCTGAACACCCCTGTGTTTTCTCAATGTTGAATCTGGCCCAACCTAATCGAGGTCTCACTTATTTACTTAACATTTACTCAGAGTGGGCTCCAAACTAATCAATACCATGGCGAAGAAGTTGTCGGTGTAGCAACATTTTGTAAAAGCAGATGGCCAAATAGTCAAGTGTGAACTTTGCAAACAGCATCTTGCATATCACAGCTCAACAGCCAAACATGGCAGATAAAATGAAAACAGGAGACAAACTTGTTTGAAATATGTTCCTCAGTAGATCTTGTGCTGGAATCATGAACTGATATAGTTCTGTTTTCAAAAATCATATGAATAAGGGCCGACGCATGCAGGTCTGTTACCATTTCAGTATAAAATATTGAATAGGCTAAATCAGCTGGTGGGTAGAGTGCACTCAGTGCACGGTGGCTGACTTAGTTCATCTACAGATAATGTGCAGAGCGACTGGTTAAGAAGTAGGCACCATTTCAGTCTACCATTAAATTGGTAAGTCTTCTGCAGCCCTAAGAAACTAAATTAAAAAAAAAAAAAAAAACACAAAGGGCAGTGCAAGGGGAGAGGAGAGACACTTGGATCCAGTGATAAAGGACAAAGCAGAATCAGAGAAGGAATTTAGAAGTTTATCACAGATCAAGGGCACCAGTCTGGGTCTGTTTCTCTGTCTGGTTCATATTCATAACACACTGATAAGTGCTGCCTCTCAGAGATTGTAACAGCAGGCTGAACTGGGGAGCAGCGATGTGGGTAAGTATCAAACATTATAGAAGGATCATAGAGGCTGTGGCACACAGCAACCACTGCCAAGAACGAGTCCACTCAGAGATATGCAGAGGCAAATATGGAAGATAAAGCAACTCTTTTCTCTTAGGAGGAGGGTTACATTAGGCTTTGCATTTTGATGGTTGGCTGCAAAGACAGTTGACTGAAGCCTGAGTGAACTGGGTCAAAGCTACAACGCCTTTTTTTTTTTTTTGAACACTCTGCATGTCTGTTTGGGACTTGCTAGCTGTGCTTCAAGCTTGCAACTAAATCAAAAAATACTAGACAGACACACACAAAAAAATAAGTCTTGATGTGTGCAATACCCATGCGTGTGAGAGAAATACTGATCAAATCCCACTCGGCCTTCACTCAGTGTAACTCTAAATAATTATTGCCCCTGGCTAAACTACAGGGCGCACCTTTTTTCCTCCACCCTTCCTTCAAGTACCCTTATCCTTGATATTCAAAATGTGAAGCAAATTTTGTGCCAGTAAAGCCTCCGGGAAGAAATGTCTTAATGCCAACTCCTTCCTTTCACCATTTAACGTTCTAGCATCCTTTTCATTCTGTCAGGCTGTCAGTCCGCCCAAAAAAAGGGAAATAGAAAGAGACAGTGTCGATTCTCTGTCAGTTAAAAGGCTGAAATGGTTCTTCAAGCTAGCGTGTCCTGCTTCACTAAACCTAAGGTGCAATTTGGAAAGGCAGGTCTGTTAGTTTCCTGGAGAAAAGGAAAAAAAAAAAAGTCTCCTGGAGTTTAAATGAGTGTTAAACTGCACGGTTTAAGCTCTCAGACCTATCCATGTGTGAGCCTCTTAGTGATTGGCAATGTTTGCTGAAAGGAGGAGACGCCTGAGATAAATATGTGGCCCTGTGGCTTTGCACCAGGCAAATGGAAAATTGCAATCATCCCTTTTGAGAATTCAGCTTAAAGAGAGAAGAATTTCATTAGAGTGTAATGGAGCTTTTAATTTGAGGGGTTGATCATTCATGAAATTTCACATTGTTATCCCTCCCTCTTGCCATTTAGTGTAATGCAGATCCACAATGGAAAGATAATAACCTGTGCATGGCCGGTCAGCACCGAACCGAGCTGCATATGCATACAACATGATGCGAGAAAAAATAGCTTTAAGTGTATTCTTGAAGCACAAGTGCGTGCTATTTTATCACGAGTAACGCGCTGGATAGCTGCTAATGATGCTTTAAGAATATTGGACAGGCATTTGTGAGCTTATTGTCCTACAATTAATTTTTTATTGCCTAGTTTTAGAACTGAATTGAAGCAGCTTGTGTTACAGCTTCCAGTGTCTCACGGTTATCTAAAGAACAGGTGATGCCCTTTTATTCTGCTGCCAGAGCGATGTTATGGCACTTTAAATGTAACAAAATTAAAAGCTCTTTAAACAGGTGAAATAAAATCAAGACATCGTTTTACCAGAACAAATGAGGGATTCGAAGAGTTTTCTTTCCGAGCAAAATGTTTGATATCAAATTCCTAACGTTGATTAAATGGTCAATTAAATCTTAACTGTTAATTTGCTAAAATGTTTCCTTAAGCTGTGACTGTGTGGCCAAGCTTTAGATTTCTCCAAATGCTGACACAGTACGGGGCTGCAGAGAGACTGATACCCAGCATTTACACAGACTGGAAGGTGTTATCTTTTTTTTTCCAAAACTGAAGTCACAAGAGCTGGTGATCCATGCCATCCTCATGGATCAATGAAGATGAAGATTCTGACATGCCTGAGATATATTCTGATAAAACCTTTCTCCCAGGTTGCTCTTTTTTAAAACATAACATTAAGTTAAAGTTAGCTCTATAAGTCATCCTTTAAGGCAGCAACATGGAGGCTTAGTGGCAAGAAATGAGAAGCATGCTTTCATCTGCCCCTGCATGGTATTAAGGACCCAGTGTCTGACAAGTACCATGTATTTCAAGTGGTACATCTGTCCTGTTATTATTGGAAACTGCATATGTGCTGTGTGACAAGGTAAAGCTTGGCAGGTGCACCAACTGAGGTAATCGCAAACTGACAGTAGCCGGCTTCAAATATGAACCACTCGTCTTGTCCACAGATAATCAGCTTTAAATATATGGATGAAGGCTTTTGCTAGATTTGCATATACAAACTGAGCTCAAACAGGAAGCAAAACCAAAGCTTTATAACCTATTCTTTAACCAAACTGCTGCAGATTTACCATTTCAAATGAATGTAGGATCATTCTTCACAGTCAGTAATGGGGTCAGTCTACCTACTCTTCATTCTTTTGTAGGTGGTTTCCTGTTAGAGGAGCCGTGCCTGAATAAAACTCCTCACCTGTATCAACATCATTTGCCTGCAGTTTTGCCACAAACGTGCCCGTCTCTGTGTTCTCAAACACTGTGATGGTGTAGGGATCAGAGGAAAACTGCGGCAGGTTGTCGTTGATGTCTTCCACGGCGATGTGGATGTCGGCTTCACAGTAGCGCCCTCCTCCGTCCACCGCCCGCACTTTGAACCGGTGCTCGTCTTGCTCCTCTCGGTCCAGGGGCTGCGAGGTCTTCAGCTCCCCTGAGGGTGAGACAGAGTGATTGTCAGAAAAATACAAAAAAATGTTGGCCGATGTAGAGAGATGTCATTTACTGTCAACAGCTTAAAAAGCCCTTTACATGTGTATGAATTATTTGGAAGCAATTAATCCAAATATTGAGTTTATGCACAAGACAACAAACCTCGTCCACTTTAAAGCACTGTAACGCTCTTATTTACTGTCTACTAACCAAGCAAAAAGCATCCAAACAACTAATGGCTTTCAAGCGAAAGAGAGAGAACTAAATAAGTAATTGAAGCACGACAGGAGGGGGAGGAATGGCGAAGAGAGGGGGGGTGATGAAGGAAAACATCAGAGTTGGCAGCTAAGAGCAGCTTGGAAGTGTCCTGGGATGTGTGGCAGCCAACATTACCACAACCTCTCTGGAAAACTCCAGAGCCTCTTGGCGGTCTTCATCAGCAATAATCCTAGTTGTCTGCACCGAAAAAGAAAATAATATTCTCCCTCTCCGTAACAGTAGCGCTGCTGCTGGAAACTCAATATCGAGGGTTGCCAAAAGACAGCTGGATTGCATTGTTGCCTTATTGTCTGTCTTGGTGTCAGCCTCAGCATATTAAGGCTGAACACTTTGAGATTCTCTGCAACAGCAGGTGCGTTGTTGAGCTGTTAAAATCGCCTGGCTTAGTTTGTTTTGTCCTTTTACTTTGCATTTATTTTTGAAAACTGGTTGGTTTGGATTAATTGGCATTGAGTGTTTTTTTCAGTTTTCTTTTTTCTCTCCCAGCAGCCAGATGGAACGTCTGATTTAGAGGGTCTCCCAGAAGAAATTATTTGCACGCAAAAAGTGTAGCAGCCATAAATTCAATATAAGTGTACAACTCTGTACTTTAGCACCACTGTGGGTCTTTCAGTTGCCCTGCAGGGAAATGTTCTTGGCTCTTTTAAAAATGAATAAGTAAATAACAACTGGGCACGAGAACACTATCTTGCCTCGGTCATAGCTGATAATAAGTCACACACACACACAGAAACACACACAAAAACAATAATGTTTCGCACAAGGATCACAGTTCTCATGTAGAATGTAAAAGTGCTGTCATGCTGAGCTGCCTTTTTGATTATATGGCTCGAAGCAAAGGGCCAGGAGTGTTTCATGGGAGACTTTTAACAGGAGTGTCCCACATACTGCTTCCTAACAAGCAGAGTAACCTCCAGCACAGCTGCAATGAAACCTAACTCGATGACTGTGGACACAGATGGATTTGTAAAGAAAGAAAAGACAAATTGTTCATATAAAATGTAATACTCGCTGTTAGCGATTTTCCACTGACCACCATCAACCAAACATCACACGATAACTGCTCCTTGTATAGAACGCTATGTGAACAAATGCCTGTTGCTGCACTGATACACACCTGTGTCAGAGTCAATGATGAACAATTCTGATCCAACTCCCTGGAGCTCATAGGAGATTTGGGCATTTGAGCGGATGTCAGCATCTGTGGCAGAGACCTGCAAGATGAGCCTGCCAGCAGGGGAGTCCTCTGGGACACTTTCACTGTACACAGACTGGAGGACAGACAGTGCGAGAGGAAAACGGTGAGAGGAAGAAATTGAAGTGAATAACGAGCAGACAAAAAGAGCACAACAAATGGAGATTAAGAGCTAAGATTACAACAAAGCAGGCTTTACCTTTTCGCATACTGGGCTGTTGTCATTGGCATCCAGCACCTTGACCTCCACGATGGCTTTGGCAGTGAAGATGCCATCACTGGCAGTAATGTTGAGGAGATAATTGTCCTTCTCTTCACGGTCCAAAGGCTTCCTGACGGACACCTTCCATTCATTCTGAATGTGTTCGATGGCAAATTGGCCAAGAGGGTCGCCTCCTGTTTGGTGTTAAAAGGAAATATATCATTTTAGCATCACCATAAACTCTGGAAGCAACCAGAGGCATTAAAATGATACAAACATAAGGATTTGCCCTCAATTATCCCACTAAACATCAGTAAATAATTACCATCATTTAAATATTCACGGCTACTTCACAATTCCATATCTGATTCCTAAACCAAACACCGATTCTACATAAGCAATTCTGTAAACCAAGAAACAGAAACAAACTAATGATAGTGCCAGTTTCTGATTCCTCTTGGTATTTCCTGACTTGGCACAGTTTTTCACAATTGCTAATTAGCACCAGAGGAAGTATTTCCCCCAGTCTATTTCAAAGCATTATTCAGATAATTATACATTCTGTAGTATAATGACCTAAATATTTGCCTAGAGCTTGGGCAGATTAGGCGATAACTCAGACTCCGCACAGATAACAGGACTGTGTAATGTTTCAAAGATGAGATATTATCATCACATTAAGTGGCATAAACGAATAATCCCCCCCCTCCAAGCTTTGTTTATGAAAAAATGTTACACAAAGGAGTCGAGAGTAAACTCTGGGCTTGCTAATGATCTGTTTCAAAAAATAATAAACACCCACCTGTGATGAAGTAGTTCACTTGTTTATTGATGTCTTCAGAATCGTCATCCGTGGTGCTGAGGATAGCGATCACTCCGCTGGGAGGAGGGTCATCTTCACTGACTGTGCCTTTGTAGATCTCTGCGGTGAAGTGAGGTGGGTTGTCGTTCACGTCAGCCACCGTCACCTCCACTCTGGTGCCAGTGACATGCTGGACTTTGTCGCCCTGGTCTGTTGCTAGGACGGCGATGGTGTATTTGTTCATTTTTTCGCGGTCTAACTCCTTTAAGGTGGTCACCCATCCAGTTTCACTGTTGACGGCAAACAGCTCAGGGATCTCCTGTGAGCTCTGCTTGGGGTCAAGGCTGTAAACAACGTGGCCATTGGTTCCAGAGTCGTGGTCGGTGGCTTTGACTTGAATTACTTGGGTCCCACTTGGAAGGTTTTCCACAATGACAGCCTCATAAGGGTCTGAGTCGAAGCTTGGATTGTTGTCATTAACATCTTTCACCTGGATGTTCACATTTACCGATGCAACTACCTCATAATTCTCCTGTGTGGTTTGGGCAAGCAGAGTGAGCTGGTACCATTTGGTCGTCTCATGGTCAAGGCTCTTCTGAAGCTTCAAGGCTCCGCTGTCTCTATCTACAACAAACACTTCATCTTCATTGCTCTCGGGAGTGTTGCCCTTCACAAGACTGTAAAGAACTGGCTGCTCACTCTCAGCTTGAATAACGTCTATCTCAGTGCCAATGGGAAGGTCTTCAGCAATTGTATAACGATAATGTGGTTCAGCAAATTTAGGAATTGGCACCTCTGTGGCGACAATTCTGATGTAAACTTGCACAACAGAATGTCTGGATGGATTCCCAGTGTCCTTTGCCTTCACAAAGAATGCATAGAGCTCATTCTCCAGCCCAATGAGGCTTTCTTTGGTTACAATGACCCCGGTGGTTGGGTGAATTTCAAAGTTTTCCTCCACATTTTCAACGTCTGCTTCAAGCGAATATTCAATGTCAGCATTGCTTCCCTCATCCATGTCCGAAGCAGCGATTTTAACCACCGAGGTTCCCCTTGGGACGTCTGATGCAATAGTGGCTTTGTACTCAACTGCCCTGAATTGTGGGGCATTGTCATTGGCATCTGTGACAATGACATTGACAGTACAAAAGCCTACTTTTCCGCCACCATCTTTAGCTATGAGAGAAATAGGAATAACCTTTTCATCTGGTTTTTCACGGTCAAGGCTCTCCAGAGTGAAAATCTCTCCATTTTCATTGATAGAGAACTTGTCTTTTGCAAAGTCATTGACTATCTGGTATGTTATTTGTCCATAAATGCCTTCATCATCGTCTGTTGCCTTTGCTTCTGCTACCAGGGTACCAACGGGGGAGTTTTCAACAAGCTCGACCAAATAGTCCACTTGAGAGAAGGTGGGGTTGTGGAAGTTGGCACCAACAACTGTTACCACGACCAGAGCTGAGCTTCTGAACACACCGTCTGACACCGACACCTTGAGATTGTAACGAGGCTGCATATGTGGCCTGCGGTGGTTGGAAACGACGATAGCACCGGTGTGTTTGTTGATGGCGAAGTTCTGGTCTTCATTTCCAGATATAATTGAGAACTCCAGCTTATCTGAGTCTGAGCTGTCGGCATCAGATGCCTGGACTTGGCAGACGAAGTGTCCACGTGGAGCCAGTTCGCTGATAGTAGTTTTGTACGTGTGCTCTGTAAAAACTGGGGCGTTGTCGTTCATATCCGTAACGTCTATCGTCACAATCACGTCACTGGAGAGGGCTGGAACTCCTCCATCCACCACACGGACTCTCAACTTGTGTTGCTGGGTTTCCTCGTGATCAAGAACTTTAGCTGTAGAGATTATGCCGGTGTCACGGTCGATGGTAAAATAATTAGAACTCTTCCCCCTTTCCTCAACCAGCTGAAAGAACACTTCCTGGTTATTGCCAGTATCCAAATCTTTGGCATCAACCTGCAGAATGGACGTACCGATAACGGAGGCCTCAGAAATATTGGCATAGTAGGTTTTTGACAGGAACACAGGGGCATTATCATTTACATCTTCCAGTATGATATCAACAAACACCTCAGAGTGTGCTCCTGTTAGAGAGTCTGTGGCTCTTATGTTGAGCTTATAGGCAGGATGTGTCTCAAAATCCAAGGGTTGACTCACATGAATAACACCTGTGTTGAAATCAATTGAAAACTGTTTGAAAGGATCTCCCTCAGATATGGTGTACACAATACGAGGACCTTCAGAGTCATTGGCCTGCACATGAAGCACAGGGGAGTGTAACTGAATGTTTTCAGGGATTTCGATGCTGTAAAAAGGCTTCTCAAACACAGGCGTTGCTTTGTTAACAACTCTTACTGGTACTTCTACTTCTGCTGAGAGAGCTGGTTCTCCATTATCCTTTGCTATAACAACAATGACGAAGTCTGTGTTGAGTGAGTCTTTCTCAAACTTCTTCTTGAGTGAGATTTCACCAGATGGACTAATCTCAAAGTGTTCTTCATGTTCCTTCAGGTAGTAATGGATGTCTGCATTTGGGCCCATGTCTTTGTCTACTGCCGTGACCTGTCGGATGGCCTGGCCTTCCTCTGCATCCATCTGGACCAGGGCATGATAGGGAAGGTTCACAAACATAGGCTTGTTGTCATTGACGTCTTCCACGGTCACAGTTACTAAAACGTGCGCCCCGTCTTCAGATTTGTCTTCTCTGGTGACCTCTACTACAATGTCATATGTGTCCTGTGCTTCACGATCAAATGGAATTCCAGTGGTTGAGACAACTCCAGAGGTGCGGCTGATTACAAACCTAATGTCAGGGTTCAAAATTTTATAGAACAAAGGCTCATTCACCTGGTTCCCAACAGCGGCAATGATTGCTAGTGTTTTCTTCTCAGAGGAATTTTCTTGAATGTAGGCTTTGTAGGACTCGCGGGTGAACTTTAGCTTGCTCTCCTTGTTTTCCTTCACATTGATCTTCACTGCTGTAACGGCAGCAAATCGACCATCAGAAACCCTAACATTTAATTCATATCTGCTCCTGAGCTGCGTGACATTCTGAATAGAGATTACGCCTGTGATTGGATCCATTTTAAACTTATCACCAATATTTCCCTCAGAGATGGAGAAGAGAAGTTTGGAGTTAGGCCCGGAGTCTGAGTCTGTAGCATTCACTTGGATGACTTCTACCCCTTTGTATGTTGGCACTATGACGGTGGTCTCGTACAGTTCTTGGCTGAAAACTGGTGGGCAGTCATTAACATCGATTACTTCAATAGTCACGTTGGCTGCTGTCTCTGCAAACAGTCGTGGCATTCCTAGATCATGGACCTGAACTGTGAAGTGGAATACACTCCTCTGTTCATAATCCAAAGCTCCTGTGACTCTGATAGCTCCTGTGCTCGAGTCAATGTAGAAATAGTTGTGTGCAAAAGGTTCAACGATTTGATAAACGAGCATGGCATTCTGGTCACAATCAGCATCAGAGGCATGAATGACAAAAGGAGTGTTTGCAGGGGTCAGAACAACACTGTTGATGGGAGCCGACTCACTGATTACTCCTTTGAATTCCCTCTGGGAAAAGACTGGAGCGTTGTCATTTTCATCCTTTAGATGAATCATAAGCGTTGTGTTGCTGGACAGTCCGGCCATGTTGGTGCCCTGTATGATAAGCTTGTATTGAGGTGTGGTCTCGTAATCTAAAGCTTGCTGCGTCACAACCACCCCAGAGTTTGGGTTTATATCAAATGCGTTGTTGATGTTGCCACTTTTGATTTGATAGAAAACAGATGACTGACTGACCGCGGTGACCAAGCTCACAAAGCTTCCTGGATGGGCTGATTCACTGACTTCTGCAGAGAACTCCTTTTCAATGAATTTGGGGGCCGCGTTGTCAGAGACTGTCACCACAATGTGTACACTGGCTGTTGTTGACTGTGGAGGTATTCCATTATCAGTTGCCTTAACGATGAGTTCAAACGCTGTCTTGCTGCTGCGATCGAGTTCTTTGGCCACTGTAATTGTCCCAAGAACGGGGTCGATTACAAATGAGTTTGCAACATTCCCTGTGAAACAAAAAAGACAAAAACAGTAAGATTTTTCTGCATATTGTACATTTGATGAGCATTTAAAATATGAATGTTCTACCACTTTAGCTTTAGTCATTCTATGTCAAAACAAAACAAACAACAATTCAATCACACTCAGTAATCTCAGCTATTTCAAACATGCATATGTCCCAACAAAAATCTAACTGCAACTTATTGTAGGAGGAAACCACTGTGGGAAATTCTGAGAGGGATCTATCCCATCTCCCACGTGTTCAGAGATCCTCTAAACAAAGTCTTCAATATTCTCCTACTCCTTGTGAAGTATTTCATTCATGTTTAAGATCCAGTGGGCAGCAGGACGGTTGACTCATACATTTTCTATGAGCTGATTTCATCTGCTTTCTTTTACAGTGAAAGCTTTCTGCTATTAGGGGAAAAAAAAATGAGGGGAAACTGTGGCTCAAACATTACACTGTACAACAGAAGTGGACGTCTCTACCATGACATCACCCATTGGTTTTTGGACCTGAAGCCTCCAGTTTGGCGCTTTGGCCTTTGCCATTGCTTTTCTGAAGCCAGATGTGTTTGGATGAGATGGTGGATCTGGCTGGCAACCCGAGGAGACTCTGCATGCCCGCTTGTCAAATACAAGGTAACCAAGCATTAAAGCATGCTCTACTTTATCGTCTGTCTCCTTCTAAATGGGACTGTAATTCACTAAATGAACATCTGACCATATTGAAAGAAACTTGAAACTAGTGACTGAGACTATAAACTCACACGTAAAATTTTTAATGAGCTAATAAATCAAATGAGACGTAGGGTCATTTTTTTCATGGACTTATAGACAATCAAACTTTCTTTCTGGAGCAAGTGAAGTCCCCCTCTGCTAGCCATTTAAAAGAATGCTGATTTAACGCACTTCTGTATTGGCTTTGAAGTCAAGCTGTGGTTGTTTTCCCTTGGGCTCAGCAGAGCGGCTCAGTAAATTAGTGAGCATTTACCTGATTCGATGCTGTAGACAAGCTCTGCATTATGGCCCTTGTCTTTGTCAAGAGCTGTGACCTGGAGCACGGCCGAGCCTACGGCAGCGGATTCGAACACACGGCCAGAGTAAGGCGTGCCTATAAACCAGGGTGCGTTGTCATTGGTGTCATCCACGTCGACGATTACACGCACAAGGTTTCTTTTAACTGGAATGTCCTGGTCTCGCACCTAGGAAATAAATTCATAAAGAAAAGGAGACAGACAGACAGACAAAGGGAGAAAAAGAAGAAACAGATATAGTTAACAGCGTCAGTGCCCCTCAAGGTATAATTCATTCCTGAAAAGCAGCATAATCAAGAAAGCTATTCACATTTCAAAAAGCAAAGGAACAAACAAGCCTGTCTTAATTTCATGGCTGTTTCTTTTCCTAACACAGCAAACGATTCCAAAATAAACTCTAGTAAACATATGTAAAAAAAGCATTGCGAATTTTTCTGCTTCTTACCATGACAGTGAGGACGTGAAGATGCATCGTCTCATGATCCAGCCGCTCAGTGGTGTACAGAATGCCTGTTCCCGGGTCCAGTCGGAACTTCCTCAGGCTGAATGGATCGGTGCTGCTCAGGAGTGTAAAGGTCAGTTTGTTTTTCTCATCTCTGTCCACGGCGCTGATCTGCAGGACCTCGGACCCGGCAGGTTTGTCTTCTGGGACATTCACGGTGTAAACCGTCTGAGAGAACTGTGGCCGGTGGTTGTTGGTGTCAATGACACGGATAAGTACCTGCAGGAAGAAAAGAAACAGAAGGTCTTTTTGACGCTCTTTCTAATTTTGTCAGCGTGTGCAAAGAGCTGTCATGTTTCCGAGGATAATTGGAGGTTAAATCAGACAAAATAAATTCCGCGTTGCACAAAGAGCATGAAGAGGGGATTTCTAAAGTGCTGGTATCCAAGCTGAGCAGGGTTCCTGTTAGAGCTAGGGTTACGTTTATATGTGCAAACACATAAATTACTCCTACAATTTACCTAATGATTCTTAACAGAGTAATGATAGTTAACAGCCAATGCATGTTCCAGTAAAACATTAAAACTAAAATAGCTGTGGTAAATGCAGCAAAACACAGAGTTCAGTACTCTGCAATGGTCAAACTGCGTGTTAAATGACGCTATTATCTTTATTTTCAGTCTCTCGCTCCCTCTTTTGTCCACTATAAACTTTTCCAAATCCTTTTCATAAGCTCTGCAATAATAAGCAGTGTTGTTTTGACATAGACTAGATCAATACATATGATGGCAAAAGCAATATTTTAACTGAGTGGCCACTTGACGCTGCTAACAGTGAAAACAAGAAATCGATGCTGGATAACCACAATGCATCTTAATGAATTCTGAGCTGCGGACGGGAGCAGGTGGGTAAATTGAGAGTACATGTGAGATAAATAAAATGCCAGCGAGCTGTCAGCCGTGGAATCGTGAAAATGATAGCTCTGGTGATACTAATACAATAGCATGTCGAAAAAGTAATGCAACTTTGAGGATGTTTAATGTTTTATTGTTTCTGTTGTGCAGATGTGCTAATGTATTCACAAGCAATTGTTCAGATTCACATCCATGAAACGGATTTCTACGCATATGTGGTTCTGCTATGGACAGCAAAAAAGTGCAGTGTTTTTTTTTTCCCCCTCCGCATACAACAAAGACTCTAACTTCCCCAAACTGTAAAATTCCACTGGGAGCATGTTTTATCAACACCAGCCACTCGTCTACTGGACTTCCGACAGAGGATTATGGAGAGCTGCTGGAATGCCATCTCTGCTTCCCAGACCAGCGAGGGGCTTCTACCGTTGCCAAACATGGGGAACAAAGGGATCAGCCCAGATTAGACACCTGCATACCAGACACCAGGGGGTGATGTCCCGTAAGGAAACTGTGGAGGCCGAGCTGTTTGGTGCAGGAAGGCTGAAGGGGGGCCGTAGTCACAAAAGCTCTGACCAGGTGACAGCTCACTAGCCGACTAGGTTTCGTCAGATCTCTGGTCAAAACATCAACCTGCTGTTGTTTGTTGTCATAATACTATTTGTTGAGCACTGTGAGCGTATATCAGAGACAAATATAGACTCAACCTGACAGGACTGATAACATTTACAATCTGCTGTGTGCTGTGATGTTGGCAACGCTGCTGAGGCTCACAGATGTCATCTTGCAGGGGGAGCGTTGGACTACATGCTGTCTGTCAGGCCTCTAATCTAACTATTTTCCACAAGTCATGTGTCATGAACAATCCATGTCACACTGTTAATCAGGATGTGAAATATAAAACAAACACACTTTTCTAACACGGCATTAGCCCGGAAAAACCACAAGGACTCGGGCCTCCGGTGCATGTTGCACCCTCAGCAACGTGACAAACTATCTCATTCCAAGCATGTCTTCTCATGCCATGCCAGACATCATATAGAACCAGATCCCTGGTGTCTCACAATCCACCTTTTACACACACACAGATGCACCCACCCTCCCACACACACACACACACCAGCACAGGCTCATAAAATGTGCACTTCCACACACATGCACACAAAGAGGCGTTACAATGTGTCTCAATCTGGCCAGCGTCAGATAACATGTCTTGTGAATAGTGAGTAAGGTGGCGAGAACCGATAGGCCTGTCAAGAAGCAGAAAGGAATGGAACCTGGTCAGTAGCACCTACATCTACCCACAATGTACTATTTCATATGGTTTAGAAAGAACACAAAAGGCTACCCCCCACCCACACACACCCCACGTATGCACACAAACTTGCCTTTCCCTTTGCAAGGCGGCTCTACAACACTTCAAAGAACTTTGCCCCCAAACATCACAAAGCAGTGTGATACAGTCTGACTGCAGCAGAAATGCTGGTGTAGACGAAAACTCTGTAGTCTTTGTATATGACTTCCTCTGGGAATGCTGAGGAGGAACAAGATTGGGACTGAGACACAGACGTGACAGATGGAGATACTAAAGGAAAAAAAAGGGCTGTGAGGGTGAGATGACAGAGAGAAACACAAGTGACAGTAAAAAAAAAACAAAGAAAGCTGAGGGAAATGGTCAAATTTAGAAAACACAGGTTGTGGGGGAAAATGAAAGAAATAAACAAGAAACAAACAAAAGATGCAACTGAGAATAAAATACCAAAGAAAAAAAAGAAAAAAAGTCCAGGTGAGAAAGAGTCCTGATGCAATAGTCAGCTTTGATACTGAAAACAAGAAAATATGTAAGTGTGAGTGAATAAACTGCACCTACGAGTGAGACATAAAGAGAGTCTTTGTAATGTGGACTGAGATAACATGAGAAACAGAAGACCAGGAACAGATTGTGAGCAGAACAGCTTGAGGTACTTCTGCACAGCCAAGGGAGGATGTCATATAGCTTGAGATGGGGGAAGGGATGCTGGGCTGCATGCCGAGGCTGCCTTGTTGGCGCAGCTCCTGGCTATGAGGTGCCCGAGCTGGAATGCGGCACCCCTTGTCTACATCAGCTGATCCTTCAGAGACGCCTTCATAGAACGACAACGGTCAAACTGAAAACGCAACAATAAAATAAAAAAAACGACCAACTGAACCAGAATGTCAGCAAGCTCAGATTTGAACTTATTTGCAATTTTCACCTCATAGGGTGTCACTTTAATTTGAACAAAAGTGACGAGCTAAAGTGTGCTTAAAACAGTGCCTTCTGAATAACGAAGCACCTTTTGTGTGGTATCCAGAACAGGACACAAGGGAGCCTTCATTGTGCTCATTGTCCTCCTGTGCCATGCGTAGGAGAGGAAGCCCCCCTGCCAGGTGGCAGGTTCTGGGCAAAGGGAGGCCACTGGCACCGAGCACTCAAACATGTTCCCAAAACAGGATTAACACAGCCCACTACCCACAGAGGTCCAGTGCTCTTGTTTGCACTATATTCTACCCAAACAGAATAATCATAAACCCTGCGTGCCTGGCCAATAAATGTGGAGATTTTGGGAAAAAAAAACTGGGAGAGAGAAAATCAAGAAGAAAGACAAAGGAAGCTAGAAGGAGAGAGAAAGAACAAAAAGGAAAAAAAAAAAAAAAACATTCCAAGGAGAGAGAAAATAGGCCAGCTCGTCTGGCAGCACAGCATCCACATGACTTTGATTTGAGGAACAGATAAGTCGGACTTTGAGCTTTCACGAGGTGTGTGATAGGGCGGATCTAATTTGCAGTGAGAGTCTGTGTGAGTTGTTTGAGAAGTATACAACACTGTCCCCAATGAGAAAACTGATTCATACTCAATGACAAAATAAAAAAATCAAATCAACCACTCACTGGCATGTGCTTTACTATTGAATTTATATCTTCGAGGATTTATTGTACGTCACGTGATGGGGAAATTGATTACTCAGCATAATCTTGTCTTTCATGTAATAATCTACACGTTTTAAAACTGTGTTTCTCCAAGTGTTTGATGGTTAATCCCAATACTGTACAGTCAGGGGGGATTAACTACGGGCTTTATATTACCTGCCTGCCTTGAAAAGCAAACGAGTGAATACGTAAATTAAAGCATTTCAGTGTGATTTGACACATCCTTTAGACAGTCACAAAACACTTCCCAGAAAGAGGTGTGCTGACAGTATCTGTTAAATCCCTCACTAACAGAGCAAATACTGTCAATGCAATGTTATCGAATAAACAAGTTGGTAGCCAAAACACTCAGATGGCTTCCCTGAAATCCTCAGGACGTTCAAAGCTTTGCCGAGAGCATGTCAACCAACGGGTACGATGGTATATTTGCTTTTTAAACATAAAGCTCGTATCAAGGCTACACTAAACACACATGCTTCCTTCTTACCTAAACGCTGATATTGAAAACATGAAAGCCACCGAGGCCAGCACAAGTTTTGGATTTTTCACGGTTCTTTTTTTTTTTTTTTTTTTTTGTAGAATGTGATCTCTGATTCACTTTCAGAGATGTGTTTACTGGTAGCCAACCAAATCTGGGTAATTATTACGGTCTCTGCAAATACTGTAGGCCTCTTTCAGTCACCATTAGGCTGTCAGAATATCCCAAGCAGCTGGCCTACATCACAAAGTGTGGTTTATAGAGCATACAAATTCAGCAAATCCGTTCCCTCGACAGAAAACAGCTGACCTACAGTGGTCAGCTGGGCACACAATATAATACGCGCCAGCATTCATCTGCAAGGGAGCAGATCAGTCAGAGCTCTAATGATATGTACAAAAAATATGCACATTAACAACCTGCAGACAGCTTCAACAGGTCCGCTGTTGCAGTCAATAAAATCCATCTGATATACAAATGATGCTTCTTTGACCTATTTCAGTCTAATACAGAAAACTGCAGGTGGATGAACGAATATTCAGAATGCTCATCATCCAGCAGCCCTTTAAAGTTTTCTATCACACTGTCACTGTGATCTGTACAGATAATTGTCAGTATGCAGGTGGAAAAAAAAAAATGTAAGAAGATCAGCGCCAAGAAATCAACATTTGCTGTGTATGTTTCCAGATGTAATTTCAGTAAAGGCTGATGAAAACCTCATAAAAACTGTCTTCACATCAGTGTAAGTTTCAAAACATTTCACCGTTTGTCTGTGGGAGTGCTCGGGAGTAACACAATTATACAGAACAATTATAGAAAAAAAGTGTAAGAGGGTTGCACGTACAGCCAGTCCCACTGAAAATCAAGCTTGCACTGAAAATTAGACATTTTGAATAGGTTAACCTTTGCATGTGATTAATTTGACTTAAAATGTCACTGCATGCAGTATTGCTGAGAGGCTTTTAAATAAGTGTCTGTTGCCAGGGCTTTTAAGAAAGCGCTTTACAGGAAGAGAAGATCATGACTGAGAAAATAAGAACTCTCTGGCTGTTTTTTGAAGGTTCTGCACTAAACTATGGGACGTGCTGCTTCCGCGGATGAGCTGCGAAATGCCAGCGAAGGCGGCGCTTCATGCGAGGCTCAGTGGAGCACAGCAGCCAGATGATGAAAGGCTTTATTCATACGGAGTGACAACAAATAGATTCTTTTCCAGCTACAGTTCTCTGAAGCTCCCCTTTGAGGACAAAGGACAAAACATTTTGAATGCCGCCGATCCCATATGACCCAAACTACCATGTAAAAATGTTGAAAATCTCATGGACAAGGCATGACCACGTGAACAAAAACCAAAGGCTGCACGCGAGCTTAGACGCCTTTATCGTGGCAGTTCAGCTTCGGTATCAGCTGTGGAGCAACATATCTATTCCATATTTAGTAATTTGGTCTATTCATAAAAGGCCCGATCCAATCTGTTCCACCCAGAGAAAAAGTAAGAGAAGGTTCACAGGATCAGGGAGAGACACAGCAGAGGGGAGGAGCTGAGGGGGGCTCAAGAATGTACACTTTGGCGAGACGGCACCATCATCATGGCAGCTCCGCATCAGGAATGAGACAATGGAAGTTTCCTGTAGCCGAGCGCTCAACTGAGATGGGAGTGAGCAGGAGAGGAAGGAGCACTGACGACCCGTATGACGGTTGGAAAAGGTATTTCAAAAAATGTCATTCTTAAGCCACTATAGATTTTTTTCTTTGTTCTTGAGCCCACACTTATTTGCTTTCTTAGACGGTTTGGAAGAGAAGATCGATACCACTCTTGTATTTGCACAGTGAAGAAGAATCTACAGCAATGACATGGTTAGCTTGGCTCAATATGAAGACTACAAACAGCTAGCCTGATTCTGTCAAAGGGTGAAAGTGCTCGTACTCGCACCTCTACAGTCTTGGACTCTTATCCTTGCCATGAAGTTGCTAGGCTACCAGCGAAGACTCCAAGAAGTCGGTGAGCCTAGCCAAGAAAAAGAGGCTCACACATAACCCTCGTGAAGCTACAACCTGTCATTTCTGCACTTTAGTTTTTGCACAGATTAAACAAATGAACTATAACGTGTTGTGAGTTTTTTTTAGACGTGCTGGCTGCAGATTCTGAGCAGTTATTAAAGCGTTATCACTTCTCTTATCTAACTCTCGCTAAGAAAGTCAAGCATATTTCCCAACATGTCAAACTTTTAAACTTTTTAACTCAAAGATGTGTCTCCGTATCTCGTGTGCTGATGTGAAAATGCAGTAAATCTAATGAAAAACACAACTCAAATACACATCACAGGCAGCACCAGACGATATAAGCAGATCTCCAAATTCTTATCATATCATATTAGTTGTATTATCTGTCCTTTTTTTTTATTTTTTCAAGCCGGCTTTATACAGTTAGAAAACAGGTCATGTAGGAACAGAACTCAAATATTTAAAGTGCCATTTTTTACTGGCCGGTTGAGACCGATGATAGCGTCACAACATCAGCACATCCCAACAATAGGAACAGTTTGGCCACTGCTTCACTCATTACCCCTCTCTTTACTCCTGCTATTTCTCACACGAGGAAAACAGAACCATGACAACTGCCTCATCAGCCTCCAACCGTTTCATTAGTGTTTCAATTACCTGGGTGCTGACAGTTCGTGTCCCATCTGTGGCTTCCACCGTCAGGTTGTAATTTGATTTCTGCTCAGCGTCCAGGGGCCGCGCTACAATCAAGGTTCCGCTGGCCTTGCCCACGTCAAAGCGGCTGTCATAATTACCACCTGTGGAATATTTTTTTTTTGTACACACAATAAGGAAAGGCAACAGATTAGAGACAAATCATTAATTCATTGTGTGCATGTAGCAAGGTTGCACAAACAATAAATAGGGTCACTGAGATGGACATGTACACATCAATTTTCTGCTCTGCTGATGTCGAAGATTGTAATGAACAGACACACTAATGTATCATTACATTTGTGTCATTAGCTATCAGTATAGATTTGTTGTTTATCAAAAAAAAACAAAAAAAACGTCTGTATAACAGCTATTTCATGCAATTAACTCCAACACCTATAGCATGGTTGCACAAGGGCGAGGTGATGAACGTGTCACAACACAATGCACAGTGAATGAAAGGATTCTGATCTCTCAAGGATAAATCATTCAACAGTGGATAATACATATTGGAGCTCTAATTCACACAAGCAAAAGGGAGATTTCTCCAGCCCTCATGAGACTCCCAATCAGGTCACAGGTTTAAGGGGGAAAATGTAGCACAACATCCATCCTGTGGCACAGTACAGTCAACCACAGCCAACAGGCAGCACCAACACACAATGTAGGATGATCTCTTAACACAGCACAGCCTATTAGGAGATCCCAGCAGCTACCTTCTGCTGTACAGTTGTGGTCACAAGCCATCTGAAGGATGTAAAACATCTCAGTATCCTCTATGCCGTCTTGCAAAAATCCAACCAAACAGAACATTCCAGAGAAAAGAGGAAAGCAGTAAAAGAGCACAGGGAAGAAGAGAAGAAAAGAGACGTGTCAGTCAGACATTGATTAGAGGGAAGACAGGCTGGGAGGAAGGGTGAGGAGGCAAACATTTCTAAAAGGAGTCTTTTGAAATCTTCTCATGCACACAGTGTCTACTGTAAGTAAAAGCACATACTTTAGGAAGGGAGGAATTATGTTTTAACACTTCAAAACATAGTTGGCAGTTAAAATTGTAAGGAAATATACTGCAGCTCGACTGCCGCACACAAAAAACCTCAAGAAAAGTACCAGTATTTATTGATACTGACCTACTGATTCATGATACAATTCTGTTATCTCAACTGCTCCATAAAGGCGGAGAGCAGTAACTGCACAAGCAGTAAAATTGAGAAAGATGGCTTTAAGTTTTCAGACTGGCATGTAAACTGCAGAAAAGATAGAGGATATAATACTTTCATTTTGAGCCTGTTTAGGATGATTTAAACGGCACAACGGCCATAGACCTTACAAAAGATCCAGTTTCCAGGGAAGAACATGTTTGTAACTTTCTTTCTGTTTTTTGTTGGTTTCATTTGGGTTATTTACAGTCCACAGTTAGTGGGGTTTGTTTTGCATGTCTCTGCCTGTCTACTTTTAGTATATATAGCATATTGGTGTCACCACACCAACATAAATTCATTCCTGTTGAGTACAGATACTCAGGATTAACATGAATTTAACTAACATAAAGTGTTTATTTCCATCGTGACTGGAATCTGCTACAGCCTCATTTAGCAAATGTGAAATTTAAAAAAATGATTTACCAAGATGCTTGTTAACAAACAATTACAACTCTAGAAAACAGCAGTTTTAGTTTTGGCTAATTACTCTTGTCTCATCTGTTTTTCTGCCTTGTGCAGCTTCATATGTTCTATTTGCAGTATTATACATTTCTATGGGATGATATTTTTAATTTTGGGCAAATATGTAAACTTATTACTGGATTTATGTCTAAGGCAGCTAAAATGGTTAAGGAAGTGATAAGCTGTTTATATTTGACTTTCACACAACATATGACAACAACGTGGAGCTATAAAATATATTTTGTCTTCTTCTAAGTACTGTTCCATATGCCCAGCCGTAACAGACACAAAAACTCTGTTAGTCCAAAAGTGTTTTCTACCTACAAAGCAATACCATGACATTAAGCATTTATTCAGCACGCATGCACACAGTGACAGATATGCATGTAAAAGAGGCAGTACCTGTAATTTCAAACCACACGGGAACATCAGATGATTCAGTGGCAACAACGCCCACCATGTGAGCCACAGGGTCGCTTTCCATTACAGAAAAGGTGAAGGGGGACTCCTCAAAAAGCAGCGGAGCTGCGTCGGCTGGCACTTCTGGTTTTGGAATCCACTCGATGTGCAGACGACAAGAGGAGGATTTCTGAGGACGTCCATTGTCAACGGCTTTAATCTAAGAGAGAGGCAGGGAATGAAAGTCTGTCATGCAGTGTTACGCAACGCTTATGTTGCAAATGAGCTTTTGCACAGCTCTCTAACTGATCATCTCCCTGAAACTCTTCAAAAGTGAATTGTAAAAGAATTTCTGTACTCTGAGTTGTCCACATTGGCAGGAGTTCTGAATAACAAAACACCTTTTGTGTGGTCTTCTTTTGTGATTCGACCGTTTGTACGGACTTTAGCGTGCTGCACTGTAAACCGTGTTTCGCAATATCATCTTGCAGCAGGAACACAACTTTTGGAGACATAAATCTGGAGACAAATCACTATAACTCAAGAAAACAGCGTTAAGTACCACCAGTAAATGTATCACAGCTATTTTGACAGCCAACTGCGATGACTAAATGAGAGTTACTTACAGGTGGAAGATTGACAGATAGCATTGATTTTCACACACATAACACATTTATTTCCCAGTTATCCCAAGATACCCTTCAACAAAACAACATGCATAATGCTGTAACACTATAAAAAAGGAAAAAGCTGAAGTGTAATGTCACGTCAATGGCTGATAAATTTGGCTCTGGAGAAACAAAGCGCAGCAGCAGTAAGAGCATAGCAAAAAAATAAACATAAATAGCAAATATACATCCGTGTTGACTGGTGGTTGCAGCATGCTCTCTAAAATATGGAGTTCTGGCAAACGATTTTCCTCTACACTTGTAATCGAAGAGGATGCACATGGAACAATTTGCATTTGGTCTCTCTTACACACACTTCCACTGCATTTTTAAATACCAAAGCTGAAAACAGGGAGGATAGAGAACCAAGGGGGATAGAAAACTTGAGAGGATGAGGCGAATGAAACAGTAAAACAATAAACAAGCATCTGTTGTAAAAATGTACTGCTCACTGAGAGACTCTTAGACCGAGGGCAGCGTGAAGCCCTGGGATTAGATACTCACTGTGAGAATGTCGTATTCTCCGGCGGAGGAGAACTTCTTGGACGACACCAGGCCCGTCTTGGGCTCGATAAAAAACTTTCCGTGTTCGTCTCCTTCCTCGATGCTGTAAGAGATCTCTGAATTTGGTCCCTCGTCGCGGTCTGATGCAATTACCCGATACACCGGGTCTCTCTTCATGGCTCTCTCTCTCTCTGGCCTCTCCCGCTCAGGGAGTTGGATCTTGTAGATTTTCTCCAGGAACAATGGCCTGTTGTCGTTCTCATCGAGGACCTGGACGATGACGCGGACAGTGGTGGACTTAGCGGGAACGCCGTGGTCGGTGATGGTGATCTGAGGAGACAGAATGAAGACTTTAGACCAAGAAGTATATCGAGTGAAAGGTTTAGAGCTGGCAACAAGGAAGCAAGTATTATCTGGTGTAGTGAACTTTAAATCACATTCAATAACTCTTATCTCATCAAGTCACAATGCCCCTGTTGTGTTCCTTAACCTTCATAGTTTGAAAACCAGACGCAGCGAATAATGTCAGCAATATTACTAAACATTATGCACAACTATCCTGGGAATTTTTCGTAAAGATCAAGACACTGTGTTAGAAATCCATCATGCCAGAGCCGAAAATTAATCAAAGCAAAGATGAAAAAGGGAAGCATGCTTTTTTCCTTCATCATCCTTTCATTCCACTCCTTTCTCAGAGAGTTAAGGCGGCCAAAATTAAAGGCAATTCCCTCTGAGATTTGCTGTCAGGAGGTCTTTTCTTAAACACATTTTTCACTTAAAAACACAAATACACAACCGCACCAGGCTGCTCTGCATTCTTCTATCGCTGGAGAGAAGTTAGCGTAACAATCAAGTCAAACAGTCACAAAGTACACCAAAGAGCACGCTTCTTAACTGACAAAAAAAAACGTGTGATGTTGTTACACAAAACAATAACCCGTCCAATAAATACTAACCTTTATATCTGCAACAGAGAAGGACTAAATTGGATTTTATGCATGGGAAGAGAGAGACACAGAGTGCACGACTGGAATGACAGTTTGGTCTCTTCGTTGTACGAATATAAAAAATGTTTAGATTACTAATTAAGCAACAATTACAACAGGAACAAGGCGTTTTGTATTTTAAATGCTGAATCTGCTGGAGAGCTGCTGGCTGGAGTTGACAAATTTGGGTGAACATGATTTGTTTCATCTGAAAACTTCCTTGATCTGAAAAAAGAAATGTATTTGCCTGTAATCATGATAGCAGCAGCTTGTATGGCTGGGATACGAACAACACACCATAGCTAATTATTTTTAATTAGCTGCACCTATTCAGTCCACCAGCAGCAGCTGCACTGACTCCGCTGCTCCGTGTCAAGCTTGCACACAAAGATGCTGAACTGCTAACAAACATTAAGACTTAATGCTCTCAACTAAGGGCTGCAGGCTTCTTTTTTTTTTTTTTAACTCCAGAAGTACTCACAATAAAAGACAGTGTCAAACAACTGCATCACTAATGGGGCTTTAATTTAAGTCATGACATTGAGTGTTACTGGTAGCATGCTGAGACTTTGTAATTTGTGCCACAGTTTAACAACACATCACATCGGAGTGCACAATCTAAGGAGCTTAATCTCAAAGGAAAGAGCCACAGGCTGACCTAAACAAACACAATTTTTTATTGAGTCCCAGAAAAATGGGCTCAAGGGTGGCGCGTCTGAGCGCTGGCAGAGATGTGAGCGTTTCTCGCTTCAAGCGGCAAAATACTGTAGAAGGGCGGAACAAATGTCACAGTCATTTAAAACCATCTGCTAAGTACTTCACTAAAAACAGTGAGGGAGTCCAGGGCCGGGCGAACGCCATTTGGAGCCATAGTTTCAATTACAAAAGTAATGTGTTTTTGTTTTTCTCGCAGTGTGTGCAGCTGTCCGTGCTGTTCACATGGGCAGAATTAATTAAATGGGATGACATGGAACCTGAGTGTGAATGTCCCTCTAAGGAATGATATCCTGTGCCGTGTAATGGAGAGTTCCATTATGATCACACGAGTTGTTTGGCTGCAGCTAAGTGCCTGGTATCCCATATTCTAAAATAGTTTGAAGAGTTTCTTTGCTTACGTTCGGTGTCGCATCGAGTGTTGAAATTAAGTTTGGCGCCTCGGCTCTGCACCTCATCAACACTGCTATGAGTGTGACTGTGTGCTTGCACAGTGCAGCCACCCAGCTATCCATCACCATGTGAATCTCTTTGGAACATTTTCATCAAAAGCCTTTGTGTGATAATTGGGCAAACCACACAAAAGACAGAGAAGTTACACCAGAGGGAGTGAGTGTCACTGCATCAGTGCCGCACTGCTGTGAAGCCGCAAACTGAGAAAACCCATTATATTCTGATTATCTACGTGTTGTGAGACTTTTGAGATATATCTCACTGACCAAATATGAGCGATGTGGTAATAATGTTTTCAATGCAAGTTCAAATTATCTGAAAAGAATAAACTGTGTAAAGGATTTAAGTTAGCAGCTATAACTGAAAATAGTATATGTATTGTGCTTGTCCCTAATACAGGACATGGATAAGTGAAGCTGCTGTCAGTAGATGTGTACAAATTGTAAAGCTTACATAGTGCAACTGTCTCTCTTTGTGCATAATAATGCCTACTGTAATAACCTTCTGAGGAAATCTGGAGCTTTCTTTCAACCAGATAAACTCTCTTCCACACTAGTTTTTCTCAAACAAACGGGCGCCAAGGCCAGATGTGTATGTGAATACAAAGAACAACTGGATGACTGTATTAAATCACCACATGGGAAAAATCTGACAAATGTCAGCCTCCATTTTTAATCTTTCATCAGTCTAATTTTCCCAGTCTGTAAGCTGGATTTATGCTATGTCCAAACTGCATGTAGTCAGGACCCGACTCCGAGGCTCCAACAATCACACCTTCTCCACTTTGTGATGAGACAGCACTGCGCAGTGCCAGAGGAGCTGGGCATTGTCTGAAAATGTGTGCTATTTTTAACTGACAGGCTTTGAAAAGGCACCATGCTGATTTGCTAGTATTTGCCTGACATTTTATACACATACCGATTAATCAGAAAAAGTGGACTGGGCAGGATCTAATATTTTTAGGTCAGACTGCATGCTGGGATCGGCTCCAGGCAACAGATGCGAACAGTCCATTCACCTCTGCTCTTACGTTACAATGTGCTCTCTACACTCCCAGGCCTGAATCCTCAGCATGTCCTGGCATGTCCCACTTTTGCTATTTACCCACCCCCCTCCCTGCACGGACGAAGGCCTCTGATCCTGCCGCTAGAGCCCACACTCAGCCCATCAAGAGCAGCTTTGCCTTTTCTCAAATTCCCCCACTGCCTTTCTGCTTTTAGCTCTCTCTCTGTCTTTCACACACAGGCACACGACGACTACCAACCCCCATCCATCTCATCATAAAAGCTGAAGGCCCCCTGTGCTCCCTCCACCTCTTCTTGGCATTTGGTGCAAACAATGCTGACACAGCCCCCACCCTAATTGCTCCACATGTTCCACATGGCCCCACATGTTCCATTTCTTTCTCCTACAACAAGCTAGCACAAAAACTTCAGCACAAGTTAGGACTTCAATTTGATTTGCTTGGCTTGCGCCAAAGTGCCAAATTGTAGACTTTAAGGATCCGTGCATCTCCACGACTGTGCAGCCCAATAAAGAGCTTCCTGCTGAAATCCCAATAACCTGTGACCATCACGCACAAACTTCTCAAGTTGCCATGGTTGCACACTTCCTTTAAGGCTGTGTTCACTCACCCGCTTTCTACGTGTTTAGGTAAAAAGTAACTCGCAGCAAACTGTCAGTCCAACTCATATTCAAATTAAAAGCCCAAGAAACACTTTTGATTACTTATTTTTCCTGAAATTGTCTGTCTCTTTATGCAGAGCAATCCAAGTGTCTGATTAAAGCTCGGTAATAAACATTACAAAGAAAAACAGGAATATTAGCATGAAGAGAATAGAAGCGATGAATTTGGCTTAACATTAAAGCCGAGAATAGTTTGAGCTGAGTATTTAATGTGGTTATTAAATTTCTGTCTGGAGGCATTTTGTCAAAAGAGAAAAATGAACAACATTCACAAACTCAGCTTAGGAGGGAAGAGCTTTTTCTTTTTCTTTTCACAGACACAAAGAGCATCAGACGCCAACTCCAACTTTGTAATTCGACAGCTTTTACCCACATGTTGGAAGAAGCAATTCTAAGTTCTGCAGCAAACCCCTGGATGGTTTGGTTTCTGACCCTGATGTCTTATATTCTTCCCAAATTGAACGCATACAGTACAAAATATCTCCCTAACGTTCAGTGTCAGTCATCAGCTAGGCATTTCCCTGTAGAAAAACAGTCCTCCCTTATTCCCTATTTTTATCCCTATCATTTACTCCCAGTCCTGTAATGCAATTAGTGCAGAGGAATGTACAATCAGAGTATGAAATACGACGCTGCTCTGGCACCAGATGCACCAGCATTAACTGTCACCCAGAGATCACTGAATTGTGTAGCTTCTAACAATAATTAAAAGGCGTCCAATCTGCTCCCCGTCAGCACCGGAAACACAATTAAAAAACAGCTATTATCAACCTTGGTTCTGTGGCGACAGAGAGGGAGTGAAGCATCAGAAAAGCGCATAGCCGAGCTCAATTAAAACCCGCAAGTTTAGACGTTGGCCCGTTGGTTTGACAGCAGTTTCCTGTCCCAGCTTGCTCCATCCACGAGACGGAACAGTGGGAAAGAACAAAGGAACAGTCACCAGGATCTCCCACGCGCCTCCCATCTCCCCCCCTCCTACCCCATCCGGAAATCAGTACAAGGAGAAATTATTCCGACCTTTCTTGCAAATAGAAGAAGACGTTTTTTTGTTGGCAAAGACGTGGCACCGGGCCAAGATGGTTGGAATGTCCGACCTCAGAAATGGAATATTCCCAGTTCCATTTTTTCAAAAGTTTGGAACTGAACATGTTGGCACTGAATGATTACCACGCTGCAAATTCATTTTCACAAAGAAGCTCGTTTCTGTAGAGCCGGAAATCAGTGAAAATAAAGCGCTCACCTCGAGGATGTGCTCATCCTGTTGCTCTCTGTCCAGCTTCCTTGAAGTGGTTGTAACCAGACCTGTGGAAGACAATCAGTATTAATAAAAGGGAAAATATATCAAGAAATAATCAAGCAAAGTTGTGTTTACATTGCTTTCTATTTTGTAATTTTAGTAAAACAATCAGGAAATATCAAACTAAAGGCCCCCAAACAAAAATATTAGACTTATTTGCTTATTATCAACCTATTAGCTAATTGCATTCATGTTTTAGACACGTTACAGTTTCGTAATCTTACTGTTTGTAACCCAGTAGACTGTCTGTCTGTCTGAAATGCAATGAAAAGTTTATTTTTAATTTATAAAATATTCTGCTCAGCATATATCTTGGTGACGATTCTTGATCGACACAACTGAAGAGATCTTTGCATAGACAAGCCTGAATAGTTACCAGATTTATTTTCTTTAAACCCTCAATCATACATTTTGTTCCCCTTTTAAATGACAAAAAAAAAGACAAACTTCTAATCCTGAGATGGTACAAAGCAAAGCAACAAGACAAAAAACAATCCAGTCCCTCACTGTTGGGTGACATAATGTGAACCCTGCTGGTTATCACATCAGTCACCCATGAGTTAAGGATCTGGAGGAGTGCTCTCCCTGTGGTCTTGCCTGTTCCTGGTCTCCCCAGTTGCCAGACAGCCCACTATACTGCCTTACATATGTGAAATATCACAAAGATCTGCAAATAGCGCCCAAACAGCAGCATAGCCTTGACACCCTACTTTTAGTTTTTCCACAAGCTGAATAAATAGACAGCCAGTCAGACATCACCCGCAGCTCCGAGCACTTTTAGTAACAGAGAAAAAGAAACTTCAGAAAAAGGCCCTCCTGCTAGTTGGAGTGTTTCAAACGTCTTCTTGAGCTCTATCATTCAGTTTAAGTTGGATGACTGATGTCGTGTGACATCAATCACGCAGGGGGAACTTCGTTAAGCCAGGCTTTGACAAAAGTAAAAATAAAACAAGCAGAAAGATGGGAGTTTTGGGCTAATCCAATTTTGATTCAAATTCGCAAACAAGGGAAGAAAAGAGGAGGAAAGAGGGGGGAGGGTACGGCTACATTATAGGCAGCATTCTCTTCTCACTCCCAATGTAATTGCAACTTTGCAGAGACACTGAGTGTAGAGTAGACATGCCAACTCCAACCGCACCAGAGCTGTCTGCTTGCCACACTGTGCCTGATTAGCATAAAGCAAAGGATTTCCGAAACCCAAACCCATCAATGGCACATATGCCTGCAACAAGAATAGCAGGCCACAACTTACAGGCCCTGAAATAGCCGTCCCGAGCGCTGCGATTGAGGCACATAAGCGAGGCACTTTTGCTCTCTCCTCTTTATCCACTCCCTCTTAGGCTTTAGTTAATCTTCACAGTGAGCTGCAAAGATTTAAGTCTACTGATATTTGGTCAGAAAAAAATAAATAACACATTTCCTGAAGGTGCAACCCATTTTTTTTGGCTCTGCTCACTTAACACGAACTGATGAGCAACCGATTTCCATTTTACATTAATATATAACAGTGCTCACTGTTGACAAATCTCACTTAAAACAAAGAGAAAACTTGCCTCTGTCTTCCCTTTTTCACCAGCTCTGTTAACACAGCACCATCCCCCCCCATACCCGCTGAATGAATAACGTATTCCAACACTGACAACACAAGTGAAGTCTGCAGGGATTACTCTTTGCCATGCTGCATGACGTCTGCAAAACTCAGCAGAGGATCAGCATGGGTTACATGAGTGCAAGCTGTAGATTACCATCATCAAAACTAATAGTTGTGCTGTGCCACATCAAAACAGGCCACGCTGACTAATTATTCATGTGCTTCAGCAAGGCCTCAGATGATGGATGGTAATGTTTTTAAGCTCCCCTGCGAGCTGCGTTAGGTAACTCTTCTCCCCGAGCACGTATTCTACAGCAGAATACTGACGACGACATTAACCACAAAGTGTAACCGTCGTCGTTTGTAATTTCTCTGCAAATCATGTGCCTAATCAAGACTGGGGAAGGTATCACAACAGACAGCTTGTAATGTAAACTGCATACTCCGAGCCGTGCTTCTGTACAGCAAACAAAAACAACATTAGCAAACCCAATCAAATCAGGAAACAACTGGCCTTTATCCCAAGCCCACTCTGGAAAACACAAATTTGTTTTTTTTTCGCTCTGCTTTGCAAAGACAAATTTCCATTTCACAAACATATTTTACACCTCAATGCTGCAGCAGTGGGCGCGCTGGAAAATGAGTTAGTGACAACGGATAGCGTATCAGTGGTTTCTTTTGTCTTATGTTTGTTTATGTTCAAAGACTGTGTGTATTTTGGTTTAGATATAATCTCTCTCTCTCTCTCTCTCGTTCTGCAACTGACAGCGCTGCTAGAATACAGGGATGGGAAATGTGTTTTAAAAATATGAGAGCTGGCAAACAAAACAGAAAGCAACAAGAACTGTAAAGTTATTTGTCCTTGTTTAATTGTGGTTATTTGCTAAAGTAAAAATAACAACAGCTACAGCTTCCAGCAGCCCACAGACAGAATGTTTTTTATGAACTATGCCCCTGCTGAAATTTCACTGCTCACAGAGGCACAATCGACAAGGTGTTTGGTAAGGTATCCCTCTAGGTACAGTTGTTCCTTTGGCAGTAGCAGGGTGCCGACCTCCTCGCAGCACGGCGACAACGATCCCTGCCAACGAGTGCAACTGTCAGTCATATCATATAGTCACAACCGTCTTTAATCCTTCTGTTTCTAGAGATTGCTCCGCGTCAGTCGTAAGTACTCTTACACCAAATCATTATTATTATCGATTAATCTTGCAATTGTTGGACCACCGCTGTAGCTCAACTGGTTGAGCTGGCGACCCATGTACTGGGGCTATAGTCCCCAACACAGCGGTCGTGGGTTCGAATCCAGCCCATTGCTATTTGCTGTAGGTGCCTCCTCCATTCTTCTCCCCACTTTCCTGTCTCTCTCCCTCTACTGTCCTGTCAAATAACGGTAAAAAGGCCAAATAAATAAATAAATCTTGCGATTGTTATGTCAGTTAATTGATTAAATCTTGTCGGTCTATATTTTTATGTGACACATTTAAATGCTGATGTCATGGCCAAAATGTCAAAACAAGAAGACACTGAATTTACTATTATAAAGGACAAAGCAGCACATTTTCACAGCAGAGAGGTAATTTTGTATTTTTTCTTTTTTAAATTATTTTAAATCTTCTGTGAAAATAGCTGCTATTTTGTGTTGATAAGGGAATTCAGCTCTACAATAGTCAGAAAGGAAGATTTGAGGCACTGCCTCCAAAACGGTTTTACACCAGCTCAACTTTAGTGCTTTCTGACATTTTTAAAGTTAAGGTATTTTAGATTTTTGATGGAGCATGAAACCGGCAACCTTCTCAGGGTCTGCGAGGGGAACATCAGAAATGCAAAAAACATGCTGCATCTGCGGTGGATGAGTAAAGCTATTTTGATGCATGCTGTTTTGTGGCTTAAAATGCTTTTGTTTGCTTCTGTTCCACTTGTGTCTGACACGCTGCCAGCTCGCTGCCAGACCTCGGACCATGGGACTTGCCGCCCACTCTAATGCCCGAGCGCTGATATCACTTTCAGAAAAAAACTCCACTGCCACTTTTTGAAAAAATAAAAAAAATTCAAATGAAACTTTTCAAAAAAATTTTGGAATCTATTTAAGCTCATCCTACAGGGCTACACACTTACCAGGAACGGGCCTTTTGTGCAGGACTTTGCTGGCACTAGTGTTCAAGTCAATAAAGGTGCACACATTGCTATTGCTACCTAAATGTTAAGAAACTGTAAAATGATTGGTTAGCGAGCCAGAGCTGACCATTCAAGTCTGCACTTCCAATCCGCAGCCTTTGTAACACACGCGCACGCACACACACACACACACAAAAGCACGCACACACACAAAGCCATCCTCAGGCGTGGGTTGAGCTGGGCCGACAGTAATTATATATAGCCATGCTGTTTTGAGAGGGGGAGAAAAACAACAGCAAAGCAGCAGTGGCACTTTCAACCATGTCCTTGAGCGCTACAACCGCTGCTCCAAAATGGAGGCTTGAAGTGAGTTGAGGAGTGCAGGACATTGTTGGGCTGGTTCATATGCGGGCATTGCTGCTGTGATTAGCAGTCTCGAGAGTGACACACATATTTATGTGACACACATTTAGCTGTGACTCCAGACCATCAGGAATGTACTGGGTGTCTGCAGTGGCTGGAAATGTTCAAGTCCCTGAGATAGTTAGTGTCGTTGATGAACTGGCACTGAGCGATGTGAATTCCTTTTTTTTTTAAAAACACTTATTGTTTTTGTCTTGTGAGGAAAATAACGGTAACAGTTCTTATCTTGAGAGAAGAGTAAATAACTCCATCAATATTCTCAGTGTCATTAGGATATAAGTGTCTACTACTCCAGCCTAAAATAAGACGTGAAACATATTTTCATAACTCATGAAGCCATCAATACTCTCAAATGCAAACTGTGGCATGCTAACATTAAAATCCAAGGAAATCCAAACTGTGGGACTGTAAAGAGAAGCTCGCCTCAAAATAAGGAGCTGCTTGTCCATTTTTTTATTATTTTTTTCAATACACAAATCTCCAAAAATGAACAAGATATGCTGACAATTCACTTCTATTGAAAAGCAACGCAGTGCTTGGCATGCCGTATACGAGTCCAGTCCAATAAATATCCTGTCCAGCAACACAGAATTTGACGAATGCAACCAAGAGAGGCCATGTGAGCGAATGCAAACACATTCATACATGCATAAGGTCTTAGTGAAAATGAGTAAAAAGCATTAAGGGGGACGCTCTGTTTACATTAGCACTGAGACATCTCAGCACCTCACAGCTGCAGGGCTTATTTGTAATCTGAAAACACAGCCACGTCATGGAAGAGTTGGGACTACAGGGGGGACTCAGGTTCCCAAATGCTTGTGAAAGTAAATGTCGCATCGAGTGAATGAATGGGACATTTGGAAGCGATGGAGA